CACACTTTTTGATTTGATTTACCTTCAAGGAAGTTTAAGTTTGTACACGTCCAAGACAGGTAACAGGTCTTGCTTGCCTTATTGGGTAAGACTGGGGCACTCTTCTGGTCAAGGAGAGAATGAAGACAGACTGAAAAAGGCCAGGCCTCCTGCTTCTTGAATGCCTGCTGGCATCACTGCTCATGGCCTCTCTCTAAAACAGAGCAAACTCTGAAGGGAACAAGTGATGTGCTACATTCTGTGCACTAGATCAACTTTCAAAGCATAAGTGTCAGCAGATCATCCATAACCTTCCACTGACAGTTTCCTCTTGATTAGTTCTAGGCAGCACCTCACTCCATGTATGTCATCACTCTGAGGGAGCCAAATGCCTGGCTCTGCTTAAAACAAATCCCATAAAACATGAACTGACTTCAAATCTACAGGTGACTACACAGTATCACAAGTTTCAGACATATTTTTTTTATTCTCTCAAACTCAAGTTTTGATGACCATGAATTCTATTAAGCTGGTGGCTGGAAAGAAGAAAGGAAAATGGACCCATGCATAGGGTTTTTAAGAAAATAGACCAAGTACATCTTTTGAAACTCAACTGAAACTGTTCAACATAAGGTGAAAGACTACCAGAGAAGCACTACACTTTTTACCATATATACCTAGTCAGTTATAGATTATATAACCAACACTAAAAGACAGGCAACAGCATGACCTGTCAAGATTCAAATCTGCCCTCAAACCACTCCTCTTTACTGACTGTTCACAGCTACATGGCCACTGTTCTCAGCTGCTGGAAAACCCCAGTTTGACACACATGAGAACCACCAGCTCCCACCAAAAGGTGACAAATACAGTGTTTGCCATTCAATGATTATGTTAAGAACACTGCCTCTTTCAGATGAGAACATGCCTAACAGTCTCCTTAAATATCCATTGCTCCTGTAAACACCAATTTATCAAGTGTTTGGTTGGATAAGAGTCAGACTGAAAGAACTGATGCCTTGGCTATACAGACACTGGAAAGTGTTTTGTCCATCCTACATTACTTTCTGTAGTACTAAACTACATGATTTTCTGTTCCTGGTGTACAACACTACATCAAAAATTAGGAGAGCAAAATTTACAGAATACGAGTGTATGATTTTATCTCAGTGGAAGAGTGGAAGGAAGGACACACAAAGCTAGACTAGCCCTCCTCAGTATGAAATCCCAGGGGAGATTTCCCGCTAGTCCAGAAGCCCTAGGAAGGGTTCCCATACACCAAGTTTGCCAGTGGTTCAAGTGAAAAGTTTGTACTTGATATTGTAATAGACAAGTAATGCACACTCCTATCACCTTCCCCAGCTGAGGAGAAACTATGGTGTTAGTGCAAGCCGTTCGTTACTCCAGCCAAAGCAACCAAACATGTAAGTATTTCAGTTTTGCTTAAATCACCACTTATAGCTTTCAGTCACAGGGGCCCCAAAGAAAGCATAGAAATGAATGCTGGAAGTAATGCCCAAACTATTAGAACTGTTTTAGAAGTGAACTTTTGGCTTGCCTCATACTACTTCTGAGGCTTAGTCCTTCACTTCTCAGATGCATATGCAAGGCTGGGCTAACTGGGAAGACTAAGGGAGCTTTCAAGTCTTGTGCTGTGCTCCTGGACAGCTGGTGGGAGCAGCACCAACAGATGACTATGCCAGATGCACAGCTTCTCTGAGTACTGTGACACGATTCTTCCTCAAACGTGTGACAAGTAATCATGAATACCGAACTAAACAGTAATCTTCTTCATTAACATATGCACACTGAAGCTATTTCAACATAAAGAACACAAACCCACAACTCCAGTACTTAAAAAAAGGAAGCCAACTAGCTATCCTCCTCATCTACCTCTTCACTTTTGCTGTGTGTTATTTTCTTCCCTTACTGATGCAATTGTGAATTCCACAGAATGGAGACAATAAGAAATGCACATCCAAGCCACACATGTCTGGTTACTTTTACCATCACATTTATTCACCCTCCCTCTTTAAAACCACATACACACACACACACACACACACATACAGAGGTTCATCGAAGTCTTGCATTGTTTTAAAATTATTATACCCAAACACTGTTTAGATCCTTCCTCTTCTTTTGCCTGACAACTTTGAAAAATGCTGTTTTTGTATCAGCGCAGAAGTGCAGCACAACTTACCATAAGCAAGTAAAGATAATTTCAGATTTGCAATAAGAGAAAATACTCAGTGAAAGAGCAACTGATTCTGGAGAGTATGTTTTCAAACACTGTGATATCTCAGATTAATTAACTCTAAGTACTTACCATAGTTGCAGGGCATAGACAGTCTTAACATATTTGTCCCAGGGTACAAAGAATTTATGCTCAAGAATCAATACTATGTTGCAACACTTGTTTTTAAAATTAACTTTTTTAAGGATAAGAATGATCTTCGAAGCATAACTGAAAGATATCAGCTTATAAAATGTATTTCTCTGTTGATCAATCTCTGTACTCTGCTTCTTATTTGGAAAAGTGATGTACTCATTGAAAGGTTTCTTAGAAAGTAATGATACTCTCTGCTTTGCAAACAGTTTCTTATGTTATAGTGACTTAAGCACCTTTCGTAGCTCCAGCAGCCCTGTGTGTATGAACATACTGAAATGCAGGTACATACTTTACTTTCCTAGAATAAGACAATCAATCTGAAGACAAATTAAAACATCATAGAAATACATTTTCAGTTAGTATAGTAAGAATGATCAGTAACACTACTAGGGGTAACATGCATTTTGATATTAGACATGTATGAGATGTATTATTATGTATCATTATGTTTCCAGAGTCAGCTGTAAAGCTTCCTATAAACCAGCATGTCATACGTGTCAATAGGCTTATGACAAACAAATATCTTTCTCTTTTTACAATTTGCCTCTCCTGTCAATACCCCTTAGCACTTTGTATTTTGAACTGACACTTGCCAGAAGTATTGGTTGCCAGGCTGAAGCACTACACCAAAAGCTGCATCCCTGTGTGCCAGCAATGATTTCAGTGATGAAACCCAGCTACAGAGGTCTGAATATTTGCACTACTTTTTTCCTTAGGGGAAAGGTGTGACTTATAAAGTAGAATTCAAAACGTTTCCCAGCTATAGCCACATTTCCCAAGAGGCACTGAAAAGACCCAGTTTGTGTGTAATTATGAAAGACATTGTCTGGGGATGCCAACTGCACTGAAATATATGAATGTTTTTAACTCGCTAAACATGTCTCAACTCAGCAGCATGCTTATCTGAAACCCAAAATACTACTTTTGATGGTTTAGCAATGCAAAAATTCAGAGATAAGGTAATGCTAAAACCTTGCACGTTTGGGCTAGAGCAATGAAGTTCTTGTGCTGTCTCTGAAATGATTCTGAAAATAAAATTTGTCAAGCCTTTTTCAGAATCAGCCTTAAAATTTTGCTACCGCAATCTATATTTAAATAAACCTTTTATTAACCCTTTTATGAAGAAACAAGCTTAAAATCTGTTGACTCATACACAGGTTACAAGACAAAACACACCTGTTTCCAGAAGCTTTGGTTGTCACTGTTTGTTTTCTGGAGAAATGACCTGGTGATTCAACATTCAGGCAATATTTTTTCTCTTTTTTGTATTGTGTCGTAGAATATGACCTTATTTTTGTTATAAGTAATGAATTATTTTTTTATAAAGCACAGATATGCTTGCTTCACACTGAAATAGATTAAAACTCACTCCAGTCAAAATCTGTGCTAATGTGTCTCCTGTTTATTACACTTGGTGACACAACAACATCGTTGCTGTCTCCCAACACACAGAGACAACTCTAAACTAACACTTGAGACAATGACTTACTGCACCATATTATAATCAGTTAAAAACCCCTCACTTATTTAAGACATAAATCCATGTAAAAAATCTGTATCTTAGTGTAGTGGGATAAAATACCATAAATATGGAAGAAATGTTTACTGACCTTCATTGTTTATTGCCCTTTATTCATCCTCAGCAAAATCCACATCAGAAAAACATAGTACCATTTCTTGATGCATTTCCTAGTTAATTATAGAAAGTTTCCTATATCCTCCAGATAACATATGAATGCAATGCCACTTAAGAAATAAGAGACAGCAATAATCTGAGAGTTAGAGAGAAACCTTTCATACAGTGAAGAACTAGAAAAAGAAAAAAGAAGGAAAAAGCTCCCTCCAAAGGATTTTTTTCTCTAAAATTAATTCTTGATCTGTGGACTTTCAGTAGGTGTTATCACACAATCTAAAAAAATATTGCAAATAGTATATATCTACATATATATTTTCATATGCACACAAATAAAATTTGGCAAAAATAGAACATTTAAAGTTAACTTAATATTTATCCTATCAATCATAATTGCAAGTATAGCCACGAGGAAGCTCTTTTCTGCAGCAGGGATTCAGTGTTCAAACTCTCAATGCTCTTAAACTTCAGTTACTTCCAGTGGTAGAGCTAGTACCTTACAAAATTATACTTGGCTGATGTGAGAGTGAACAGTAACCATGCCAACCCTGATGAACAATACAGGACATGAAATAGCCCGTGGATCTCTTGTCCCACCCAAATAGCTGGAAATCTAATTGGGGTAGAGGAAAACAAAACACAATCAAAACAACCATATGAGTCAAGAGGCTGCACAGGCTTATGTGGAAACAAACACAGGTACCAATCTCCATGTAGTGTTTCTACTTAATACATTAGTGAAAAAACAGTTTTCAATTACCAGTCTGGTATATGTTTTCCCATTAAGAAGGTGGTTTCACAAGCCACTGAACTATATCTTTGATGTTTGTGATAACTATTCCTAACTGTTTGTGAACTACACTATTAAATCCCCTCAAATGTCAGTTTATTTTCTCTTGTAACGTATTCCTACAGTGCGAGATTAACAGACACAGAGTAGGCCTTCAGGCACTAAGAATGTAAATCAGCCTAATCTCAAAAAAACAAGATGTGCACTTAACCATAAATATTTTTTTTATAATCACATCAAACATGACATACCTGGTATTCAGTTTTATATAAATTAGTTCTTACGTCAGATCTACTTCTGAGGTTATCCAAACCCCAAACACATAACATTATTTTTACTCTTCAGGCCTGAATAATATTTACAGACATTAATGCTATATCCAGCTCTACAATCATTCGAGACACATTATATAACTTTATTTTTTTATTTGACAAGCAGCAGTATCATGTTCGTCATTTTTTTTTTTTACATTTTAATGTAGATACAATTATTAGGTTATCTGTCATATTACAATATTTAGGTTTTTTGTGTGATTTTTTTTTTTACTTTGTCTTAAGATACATTAAAAAACATCAACTGCAAACGTGAAAGGGGAGGGAAAAAAAAAAAAAGCATGGTACCCAACCAATTCATCACATTTCAGCAATACTTCACTCATTCTTTTAGTAAAGTTTTAAGAAATGTCATAATGACATGAGCTTGAAATATCTATAGGCATTTTCATTGACGCTCATGACATGGCACTGGTGATGTTGTAAACAGCAGAAAAACAGGGGCTGCCAAGTGACCAATTATGGAGGCACAGGCCTGCCTCTTCCCACAGGAACACACCAAACAGTGACAGCAATGATCTCCTTACAATCATACCTGCAGGATAGCAACATCATGCTACATAACTGTATTCGTCTGCAGAGGCCTGGCTTCGCTCTATGTACTGTTTGTCTATCAGAACTTCAATACACTTCTTAATCATGCTGATACTTGGGTTAAACCTAGCTCTTGATTGGCTGATTACCTGCAAAAGAAAGACATAGTTTTTTTGTTAGTTTTATTTTTCACAGTCAAAAACTGCATCTAAATATTTGCTAAGGGCTTTAAGGTAAATTCACTATGCTTTTCTTTTAAAGACAGGATTAAATAACCCTGGAATAGTTAATTAATAACAATCAAGAAAGCATCTTTATGCATTAGTGTCAGGACACTGAAACTGACTGCTGAGCTCACTGGTTAGTTTGGCTGCATATTCCCCAGATCTCTTCATTTCTCTTGCTTGCTTCATTTGTCACAGTACAAATGAACACAAATACCCATGTTAAAAATTAATCTAATATAAACACATCTGTTCATTATTATCATAGTGGAGTTCTGCTACCACTGATTTCCTTTCCTATACAATTTGAGACAATTGGGGTGAACCTCTATTCCTTCAGTCACTGAAGACAGATATACAATTTGGTGAGTTCCATCTGCCTATGCTGGAACTTTGTAGTACATGCAGTAAAAATTTAGTTATTGTAAAAACAAGTCTATATTTGCATTGTGGAAGAAACTCCCACTGCAGGCAAAACTTTAGTTGTCTCTTGATAGTTCTTAGTTTTGCCCATTCTCCTGTAGAGAAGAAGAGGAAATCGTGAGTAGTAACAGATCACGCAAATCTAGAACTTGAAAAATTTTTCAAACAAAATATCTTACTACTCAAATGTCACAATATATTTTGCCTGTAGTTTTTAATTTCTTCTGTAAAGAAAGTGATCTTTATTTCAGCTGGATTTCCTGTTTTCTTTACAACTTCTCATGGCTGGCTTTGTCCCAGCTCTAGAGTTTTCTAGGGCCCTCTGTGAGCCAACAGAACTCACCAGGTGGAACTCACCCAGCAAAGCAAACAAAAAGCTCAAAAGAGCGAGTTTTGTTGGGCTTGCAGCCAAGGGTCTGGTACGTTCCACAGCAGCACAAATGAGGAGAAACTGGGTGCTAACAAACTAATACATCTGCTCAGGTTTCACCTAACTTCAGCCCTACACTCAAACTGATTGTCATCATCATACTTCATGTATTTACTCAGGACAGAGAGAACAAAAGGTAAATTTTGTATTGGTAAGGGCTTTTTTTGATTTGTTTTTGTTTCCTCAAAGGTAATACAAATAAGAAGGATAGACAGAAATACCTGATGGTCAGAATAAAAACTTTTCTGGGAATGACTGCACCGACCTTTCCTCTCCACTACTTCCATGGACTTACTTGTTTTATGGGAAAAGCTACCTCGTTCTGCAGGCAACTGCAGCATAGAGCTGGAATTGAAATTATCAGGGCATATCTAACACAATTAACAATTCAGACAAAGACCATATGCTGACATATATAGGTCTATCAGGGGCCTGGACTATTTTCCTGAACACCTCACCCTAAACAAAATGTGTGGAGCTGTAGTCTAACTGTAAAAATCAGAGCCAACTACATTAAGGCTAGGAGTCTCTCAATTATCTCTAACAACATTATAATCCTGCCCTTATAGCTAAAAAAAAGTAATATTAATGAGGTGAGAAAATATTAACTCTTCGTAGTAAACTGACTCCTTCTAAAAAGATTCATTTGTATTCAAGAAGTCAGACAGGAAAATTTAAGTGAATACATTTTATATGTATATAAACAGCATGATAAAAGTAACAATGTCACCAGAATTAGTAACAATATCACAACTTTACTCTCTACTTAGTTTTTAATTGAGTAACTATCAAAATATCCCCCTTTCTTGAAAAGCTAAAGAAAAAGCTCCTGATGTTAATAGAATATTCTGCAAGATCACTGCAAGACTAAAAGACAGCAGAGGCACATAAGATAGCGGCCTTTCCATTAAACAAAGGAAGAAGCAACCAGAAAGGATTTATTTCCAAAACATAAAAATTTGTAATCTATTTCACCCTTATAAACTGGTGTCAAGAAAAGTACATTTTGGAATCTTTCCCTAATCATTTGAGAGTGGAGAGAAAAAAGTATTTTCAAAGATGAAACAAGGCTTGCCTTTCTAGTTTTATTTGTAAATTCTTATAGGACTTCATCATAACTGCATGGATGATTTAAATAACAGGAAACCAAATAGCCAAAGGTTTTGAGAAGAATCAGGACCTATGGTGCCTTACCTTTTACATATTCAATCTAAGAGTAATTGTGTACAAGCACTATTTCAATATCCAAAACTTTTAAGATATCTCACATTGCAAGTTCTGGGCTTACAAACTCTCTGTACCAGCTTATTTTTTTTTTAAGAAATAAAAATTAAGTGGTGGGTGTACTAAACTGTTTCCTCCATCACCTCAAATTACTCAACGCTTCTCCACCTCCATTCTCAAAACGGTTGAATAAAGCAGGAATCTTTATTCCTCCTCCCACCAGTCTGCTCTGAGGCTTCCAGCAAGGCTCAGAGACACAAGAGTGAACTAGACTGAAGAAAGAATGCCTTGGAAGGTTGAGAAAACTAAAAATGGGAACCGGTTGGTGGGAGCAAAGGTTGGAATGAAAAATACAATTAGGCAGGCGACCAACAGATGGGAAAATGGGACAAAAACTAATGACATAGCACTACCTTCCCAGCCAGCCTGTGACAGTTCACAGATCATTAATCTAGAATCTAAAAAATCTAGAGAACTGTACCACTTAATGGAAAAGGGAGATTAAAAAGTGCATGTCTTCATACGCAGACAACTTTTAAAATTTAAGCCATGTATTATAATAAAAATAATGATTAGAGCTAAAAATTGGCTAGGTGCTTCTGTGCAAGTTCCATACTTAGAATATCCACACTCAGGTTTTCAACTGTAACTATAGCTCTGGCAATGTTTCCTATAGGATACAGGATCTGTTGGCATAGAACCAGCCAACAGGAAAGAGCAAGCACTTAATGTTTTAGCGGTAAGACACATTTACAAGATTGAGGGGTCCCAGCTGGTGCTCTAGTACTGCAGTTCAAAGTAGACCCCATGAAAATCCTCACTAATTTCACTGGGGTATTAGTTTCAGCACAGGAGAGTTCTGTGGTCAGATGTTTTACCCAACTCTCCTGAAGATTTTCCTCAAATCAAGTTGAAGAGGAGGACTTTCTCTTACCTCCTGAATTAGAGCATTATGTCGCAACACTTTACGTGCTTTCATGATACGGACTATAGCAGCTTGGAGATACATTTTTCTGTCTTCATCTACAGCACTTCTGGTCTGCTCCATCTCCTGTGATATTGCAAGAATATTAATGTTTAAAATATATTATGACCAATAAACACTTCATAAAAGGATCTAGAACCTATACTTTTTACTTTACTAGAAGTGGTCAACCAATACAAAAATGCAGGAGAAGTTCAATTCCAGGCAAAGTACTTCCATAAATCAAGAATACGAGGTTTCTTTAAAGTCAGTAGGAAGGTAGGACAGGCATCCAAACCACCAATTCTGCTATGGAGAAAGGCAGGCAGAATTTATTGTAATGTATTGAGTTTGGCAGCACATACGTATCTTGCACAAAATCCTATGTCTTAGGAGATACAGGATTATCAACACAGGAGTTAATTTTAGTTGCGGAAAGACAAAAATCATAGGAAAATATTTGATTGGTTCTGCTGTTCCTGGAATAAGTTGCTTTTGTAAACACCACCAATAGAAAAGGTCTCATGAGATAACACCACCAACAAAGAAGTCCCATGAGATAAAACAAGCTAAATGTCAATCCCTTTTGGTACATTTTGTTTATCTTTTCCTTCTGCCTTCTTGTTCCCTATTTTATCTTCTCCTGCCTTCTCCTTCTCCTTAAGTACAAAAAAAATTGCAGTGCTTAAGCTTTAAACTCACACAATTTCTTTATGGCTATGTAAATCTTGGTGAATCTTACATCTGCTTACACCAGACTAACACAATAAATTCCATTTTAGAAAAATAAGTTTCTAAGCTGTTCAAGCTAGAAACACCAAAGAATACTCACCTGTGGTGTGTCTTTCTGCATTGATGTTGTAATTTTAAATTTTGTTCGTTTACTGCTGAAGTTCATATTTAATGAAAACGTAGACTCTGTCTCTATGTCTTCCTGCAATAAAGAATCTTTTTTAAAAATCAAAAAGAGAACCAGAAAATGGTAGCAATTTACTTTGAAAAGTCACAGTTAGGGTCTTACATACACACAAACAATTTCAGATTTGTAGTTGGAAATTCTAAAATGCCACTTGAAGCAGGTCAATTTTTTAAGCTACAGTTTAACTAACCTAGAAATCAAGTCTACTTCAGAAAACACTATGAAGAATTCTATCACACATTAATTTTGTTAGCAAGTCAATATGATTAAAGTAATTTCTTTTTTAATACTTTGACATCTTATTTAGTTGCAAACACTCTCCATTTAACTCATTTTCTTCCTGCAGAGAAAGCAGGATTTGCATTTATTTATGGCAGAACCTCGAGAGGGAGCTGTTGCTTTTACAATTATTACTAATGTTGCCTCCCAGAATTTAAGGAAAAAATATCTAAGCATTTTTTTTTATATTATAGCAGAAACTGCTGAAAAACTGCAACATCTGTGTGTTTCTAATTTTTTCCTGTCAGAATCTCAATTTTTTTCCACACATAAAAGTCCATTTCTTTCAATAAATGGTAACTACTCCCTGCAATCAAAACACCTTTACTTTCAACTAAAAAGATAACTGGACTGATCTTTGCAGTTTCCAGCCAAGAGTCTGTAGAAGTATTAGCAATTTCCAGCAGAATAAAGTTACAGGACTTCTGAGACCTTAGAATGCTGCCGAACTGTCTGAAGTGCAAATATTTCAGTAAACACAGCCAATATTTAACTAAATATGCACTCAAAACAGCATTAATTCTAATTTTATATTCTGCAACAAATATTCTTTGTTACAATAAAAATAAAACCAGGACAACAGGCATAGTATAGAAATTTTAACATGAAAGGGAAAAGACCAACAGCTTTAAAAAAATAAGGTAACAAAAAAATAGGCTAACATGAAATTTTAGCATTATTCTCCTTACATAGTTGAATATAAACCAAAATAAATTGTGCATTGAGCATGAAATTAAAAAGTATAATTCTAATGGACCTATAAAGGTTTTGCCAAAAGCTGCTTGTGTTCTTCACCTCTCCCCCCTCTGCTTCTCTCCCTGATCCTGCTAGTGGGGGAGTGAGCAAGTGGTAGTTGGGCCTTGGCTTCCATCTGGGGTGAAACCACGACACTCAGATACAGGTTAAGAGAAGTTTGTATACTGAATTCCACTGCTTAAGCCACTAAAGTTCATTTGTTTATTTAATAAGTAATCTGATAGACTGTCTACAGATCTGCTATCACATTGCTGGATAGAGTGCAAAGAAAACAGAAATAGTAAAGATGCTTGAATATAATAGTTTGGAAGGCAAAGAGCTAGAAAATGCAGTGGTAAACATTAAAAGGTGAAAGGGTTGGAAAGCTGTATCATTCCCTCTTCAATAACATATCCTTAAAGGAACTGGGCAAACCTTATACAAACAGACATAAGTAAAGGTAAATCCTTTAAATAATGGGCAACTTCCTAAAATAATGAAAAGTTTCACTGTTTTCTTTAATAGCTCCCAGTGTTTTATTTGACCCATGGTTTAACAGACATCTTCCCAGCTATTGTTCCAACCTGAGCTCATTTCTAGACATTGGAAGCATGTCCTATGCTTCAGCCAAGCATCAGATCTTCCTTGTAATCTCACTTTCCATTTCTTAAAATTTTCCTGCCATCAGAGCAGCTTTAGAATTCTTCTCAAAAGTGAACTGAACAGCTTATCTCTGTACCTTCTGTCTGATACTGTCTGAATAGTGGGCTTTCTGGGCTAGCTGGAAGCACATGCTAATGTCTGTACAGGATGCACAGGCACTTCTGTCATGTTTCTTACTTAACAGACCTCTGTGTCCTTCGCTGCATGGGAAAAAGGGTAACTGGTTTCACATAGGCCATACAGAAGGACGAGACAGTCAGAAACAGAACCTGTATCAACCATTGCCTTAATCACAAACAAAGCTCAGATATTACTGGAATTCCATGAAACTCCTGGAATGATAAGTTTGGCAAAATGCAGCAAAAATCCTCTCAAACAAACCCTCCTTGCTCTCTTTCCATCTCTTGTAATCTGTCAGCACTGTTGCTTTCAGTCTCTTAATCCCACAAATATTTTTTTAGGATGGCTGTAAGATTCTGGTTAACAAGTCAGGCTCCTTCCTGTGATTCAATACAACTTCAAAAGTGGTGTATTCCTCTCCAACAGTGGTGAGTCTAAAGGCATATGTATGAAATGCAACAGAAGCAATAAACAGTCCCAGCTTTACTATCTGTTCAGCAGACCATGCTGCTATAGGTATGGAAAGCCTATATGGCAGACAGTCTACTTCCTCCTATCTCTTTCCTTAAAAATACAAATTTATAATTGTTCACAAGGGTCAATAATACAGTTTTGATATTAAACAGTGGATTATTTATAATTAAAACAAGTCCTCCAGAAATATCAGAATGACAAGACTGAAAAGGTGAAACTCTTTTATATCGTTATGGCATACCTTGTCTGAGTCATGGTTTATCATTTTGACATCAAGCAAAGATTTGATGGTTTTTGTCAGTTCCTTCTCATTCATTTGTGTGCTGTCCTGAAGCTCCTTGTAACTGACAGTCTCACTGTTGTTGAAGGCAAGCAACACTGCCATTTGGTATGTTGTGACCATGGCTACATAAGGTTTGCACAAATAGTTCATTTTTACTTCACCTGTAATGATACAATAGTATTTTACAAACTGATGGAAGGTGCTGAAAAGTCATCTGAAGTTTAACTACTAGAACTCCTCACACATTTCCAGACATTCAATTCAAGCTTGCATTTAAGACTTGAAATGGGATGATGACAACTGATATTGTGAATTCACACTTACAGAATGTGGTCTACAACAAAAAAACCCCTCTGACTAACTATGAATATTAGAACAATACTGTTTTGAATAATGCATTATAATTTATAATAATAATAAAAACGGAAATTCCAACTAGATTTTCATAACATCATATTGTTGTATGCTAGTCTGGTTTTTCATCTCCACATAATATGCTGTGGTGCTCAGTCATTAAAGCCTGATACTGAAAGCATTTGAAATAAAACACAATTTACTGACACTTACTAAAATAAACTATAATTTTATATATATCTTCTAAGATGTTAACATGTACTCCCATATAGTAAATATAAATATTTATTTACTCACATACTCACATACCTGATTAAAATAGTATAATATGCATTCTTAAAATTATTTAATATTTATGTAAGGGACATCTATACTACAAAAATGATTCTGGGTCAATTGTTATTAACTTGGCAGTTCTGTAGTGCTCTTTTGTAGTTAAGAACATACAACTCTAGTTTTACTTGGATTTAATAAATCACAGGTAACACATGCAAGTTTACAAAACATGAGTTTTGGAAATACTATGTAGTAAATATTAATTTATAATGCAAAATAATCTGTTGACTTTATAGGCAAAATATTGTTCCAACTCCACAATCTGTTGCCATTTGAAAAGGACCTCTAGCAAATAATTGCCAGTTGTATAGATCATAAGTTTAGCAAAGCACTTATTTTTACCTGTACAAAGATAATGTAACCAAGTAAGCTTCCTTCCACTAAAATGCTGACTGTAAAATAATTCAAACTGCAAAACAAAATGAACTTCAATTAGTCACACATACAACTACTTATAATAGCTTATTATCACCCTACCACCCTAATGAAGAAATACTGGCTTTATGTTCACCCTACTGGATGCAAACATTGCAGATCAATTCATGACAGCATTTTCCCTTGGGACACGAGCGATGACTGAATCCTAATAAGGTCTACCTCTCATAATGAGAAAAGCTTAAGCAGATTCAAAGAACCTTTACCTAAAATGGGATCAAATTCTCTAAACCCCACATAGCCAACACTGTGTACACATCAGTTTGGCTTATTCTGATTTGGTCTGGCAACTCTGATTAACACTGAAGGAAAACACAAAACCAGGAACTTTCGACCTCTTTAAGAATCGGGTGTTTCTCCACCCACAAACTTACACAGTATGAATACCAATATATGTACACCATTCAGATAAATATATATTTACAAGAAGCTCCAGCAGTCTCAGAAAAAGCTGCTAAACAGCTTGCACAGTTATTCACATACTTTGGAGTGCAATTGCAAAATGTTTTTTTTCTTTCTAAATCCTGGCCAGAATCCTGAGAGAACTCTCTCTGTATGGGTCAAATGATGAAACTTAACAGTAAATACATTGTCAGACAATTTTCAAAGACCCCCCCCAAGGTCATGTTCTGTTCCCTTAGGAAATTATCATTTAGAGCACTGACTCTAGCTATGACTAAATTTGCTCCTTTAAACTGGCAAAACAGTGAAATTAGGCTGAAAAACCCAGACTCTAAGCTGCTTCTGATACAGAAGCCTGTAACAATTTTCCAACTGAGACACAACTGACAATACTCCTACTTTGAACTCACAAAGAACAGGAAAATCTCATCAATCACCTTCTGGTGATGGCATAGTATGGACTGGAAACTATTATATTGCTAAAAGTGCCACCTAATAGAGGGGAAATATAGCAGAATAAATAGTTCTAAAACTCAGTAGCAATATGTGAAAAAGCTCCCTCACCACAGAAACAGACATTTACCATTATAATTTACATCAGATAGTAACTTAAGGTATAAAAGCTGCTTTTAAAAATCTGTTATGTCCAATAACACAAAATTTTCATTGTGTAAATTGTACTTCACCATTAAATACACTTTAACAAAGATCAACACACATTGTACAGGTAACATTTAGAACACAATAATACAATCAAAAATAACAAAATACTTACCTCTACAAAGCAGAAATAATCACGTAAGAAAAGAATATTTGACCAAAGTAAAACCTTTACTGCTTCGAGAAATCATAAAATTAGCCGTAAAGAAGTTTGCACAAAGCTCGATTTTGAATAGCTCCTACAATATACAGGACAAAACCCCTGCATTTGCATCTTAATCTGCTATTATATCTGTTCATATTTAATATTAGAAACAGAATCTTCTTTTCTTTAAATATTAGGAATTGTTTTTAAAGAAAGAACCAACCCAGTTGGCTTAATTGTATTTATTAACATCTCCCTCAGCAATCACAAAGTGTAGAAGAGAGATGTTAAAAATAAAGAAAAGCTATGCAAATACATACATAAATTCAGTAAGGTATTTGGGTGACCCTTCCACATTTCCTATGGACTGGAAATAGGATATCCACGATTTACAAACAAAACGAAGCAGCTCAGGTTTTTCTCTGTTTGAGTGATGATCTTTTACTTGGAGTTATTTTACATTTTCCACATGTTTACAAGAAGCCTCCTACTAACCTACCATCTGTACACTTTTTTCCAGTTCCTGAGGAATTGCAAATGTAGAAGAAGGAGCCTGAGTTAGAGGCCATGCACCAGCCTAAAGGTATTGGGAAAAAATAAAAGCATTAACATTTTCAGACAATATATACATTAAGAAAAAAATAACACTCTTAAACAGATCTATAGGGTACATTATGTCATAAGACAATCAACTGATCCCAGAAGTTTTACTGCTCATTTTTTACTGCTTATGCACATCTCAGTGAGGTATTAACTGAAGTCGAGAGCACAAGACATTTTATATCACTACTGCTTAGTGAGCTACTGGGTTAATTTTAAAAAGCAACACTAGGAAAATATATTACCCTACAATAATCACAAGGCATCAGTTTCCATACAAAGAAGCATTCATAGTTAGAAAAATTGTTCACTTGTTATCAAAACATAAAAAATAAGCACAAGTAACTCAGTAGTAAAAAACATACATTAGTACCTGTAGAACATATATCTGAAAGCTAATTCCCAAATCTATAATCGTGTCCTGGTTTTTGATAAAGTTGTTGAATTTATTGTTGAGATCAGCACTAACACTCATGTCTGTATACATTCGGTGGAGCTTGCTGGTAAATTCATAACCACAGGCTTGCTGTGAAGAAATATTGTAAGAGGTTTCACAGTGAAAACAGTCCTTATTGTATAAATTATGCCCACTCACTACTACAATATGAAAATCTAGTCAGCAGAAGTGTTTTTACATTTACAGAAAACAAACACTGTAAAATAAAATTACCAGATTTATCTTAGTTTCACTCTATACACAATGATCTATATGAACAATGTTATCCTATAAAACTGAAAGACAGACATGGTCTATGAAAGTCCTTGGTACTTTTATAATGTTAATATGAATTATTTGAACCCATCTAATAAAACTACCCAAAATCTTATAAAAATGTCAAATGATACTTGGCCATATATCTTTCACAGACTACCAAAAAACTAGTTCTTCCTTTCAGCTATTGGAAACAGACCTACTGACTGCTAAGTTACCTCTGGCACCCTCTGCTGCTCCCTCTCAACACTACATATTCCTTTGTTCATTCTGTGTTAGAAGAATATTACATTACCTTTAGTTTATTTATCATGGCTTCTTCAGAATCCATAGACATAGACAAACCATGAATTAATCTTTTTGCCAACATTCTGGCATAGAACTGCATTGAAAAAAAACAGATATGAGGATTTTAAGAAGCATAATCACATCCTTCAAGTATGTTTTAAATGTAATATTTTAACCTTTATTGAATATAAAAAGTTACCTTTTGGAATACATCTTTGTCATCAATGTATTTGAAAACAGTAATGAAACTTGTAAGTTTGTCTTCTACTTCATTCTCTGTCATTCCTTTTGCTGATTTCTTCAACAAGTTGTCACAGTACTTGGCCAGCTCAAATTAGAAAAAGAAAAATCAAACCCAATCTACCTGTCAAGCTTGAGAACAAATGTATGCCAAGGTATTCCAAACTTCTACACAAAGTTCAAACGTGAAATAAATCACAGTCTACAGTCTCACATTATATTACAAGGCTGGATTCATGGGTAAACTATACATTCTACATCCACAGAAAATACAGTCTATATAAAAAAATAGAACCATAGCAACTTTGCACACCCACAAAACGTGTGCAAGTTAAACTGCTACTACTGAAATACACACCTGAGGGTGATCCAGTGTAAGAACTGGATATTCATGTGAGGGACTCCATGCCAACTCATTTGACAATTATAAACAAGAATTCTTACTTTCTACTTGTATCACTTACCAACTCAGGTGCTTTGCAGATCGACTTGGGCTCCCTATAGTTAACTACTGATGTCAAAGCCTACATAAGAACACAGAACAAAGAGAAAAATTGTAAATGACCTACACCTTTTTCTTTTAAGAGATTTGAAGAAATCAAAAAAAATGCTCGAGGCAAAGACCATCTGAGACACTATAAAACTGAATTACACAAAAGGGGATCAAAAAAGAAACAACAAATAAAAAGGTTTCAATTACTGTCCTGGGAGAATTTGGTTGTTAAACATGTTTAAGTTGAGAGTTAAGTAAAAGTGGAAAGAGTAGAGGAACAGAAGCTAATTACAGAAAACGGGAGAACAAATCAAGTTCTGATTAGAAACTTTGTGGAAGTATGAAGATTTTTGAATACAGCAATATCATGGTGCAGAAGTACGGATGGAAAGAGGTTTAGGAATAATTGCAGATAAAGCAGATTTGAACACCAGCACAACAACAGTAGATTATATTGTCAGCATGTATCTTGAGCTGAAAAGCATATATGGTGTGCTCACAATAGTAAAAACTAAAAGTTTTTGGTTGTGGGATTTTTTGATAGACTAAAGAGGAGAAAAATATTGTTCAAAGTAGAAATTTGAAGCAGTACAGTACAAACAATATGGTAGCTAAAGAAAACCTGAATATGATAAAAAGAAAAGGAAGGAGATAATGAAAGTTTAGAATTGAAAAAAAGATGCTAGAATAATCAAGTTTCTAAACCATACATCACATTTAAATTAACATTTTAAACTAACATTGAACCTAAAATACTGCGTGATCATAGTTCCTAGGAATTACAGTTCCTCTACGGAAGGAAAATATTGTTACTATTATCAAGATGAACTGACAACCAACTCTTTTGTACAATACATCAACATTTCAAAACTTGGTAATAGGTCTCTAGAATCCCTGTGAGAAAGGAATGCATGACTTGGAGTAGGAAACTTTGAAGCTTGGAGCACTTTTTTGCAATAAAACTGGAGGCAGCAGTTTTGATCTCCACCACGAAAAATTAACAGCAGATTAATATTTTAAATATTTATTGTAAGAACGATCACTGAAGTGAAAAAGTGATGTATCTAACAAAACCTATGTTGCTATATGCCAAAGGTAGTAGTCAATCTCGTGTTACTCCACCTTCTGGTACATGATGTTAATTGCAGTGGAGACAGAAATGTGTTTGGTACTGAGATAAGTATTTGTTTTAAAATGATAAATAGTTATTTTCTCCATATCACAAATACAAATGGGTAACTACTATTGGTGCTATTATTGGTACCTTCTTCACTATGCCTTTTCATACTAACCTTGGCTTAAAATTATCAAAGCTTAGACTTGGACCCTGATTACAAACTGCAATTACTATAAACACCACAGAAGAGCAATGAACCACATGTCTACATCCCATGACAGGAAATTACAGACAGGAAAGATACTTACAATTAATAGTTACAATCAATAATTATTATTAAACTTTATAACAATTAGAACTGTTATGTTAAAACAAAAGAGCAGCAAGCCTCTTTCCCTAAATTCATTATTTAACTTCAACTGCAGCTCTCTCCTGCAAAAAGTTACCTATTGTGACAGTGATTGAAGTAATATAAGTTTTCAGATACTCTTTGTTTAGATTTTTCAAGTTGACTACAAATATTCTATGTAAGTAATACTAAAAGCACTTAGAGTCAAACATTATGTCAGGAAGCAAATTCAAGTTCAAATGCATTTAAGAATTACCAAACCTCCCAAACACAAGTTGTCTATTATCTGCACTTACATTTACACTAAATGTGTCAGCACCCTTTTTGTGTTATGAAATGTGATGAAAAGAAAGGCCTTTCTTTCCGAAAACATTAAAGTATTAAAGTGGTTTCCTCTGCACATATCTTTCCCTCTAACACAGGCTTGTCTTTTGTTCCATTGCATTTCTAAGCTAGAAAAACTGCGTAAAAACTCTATCTTTGAACATGTGTTGATGCTCTGAAGAATTCTGGTGAGGCTGAAACAGGGTCCCGAATTTTGTTTTCCAATCCCTTGTTTACCTAAGTAAAAGTTACCTTGTCAAGGGCACTCATAAAGTGTTGATCACCATTCAAAACAGTGTTGATGAGTTGAACAAATTTACTATGTACTTCCAAAACTGACTCCACAAACTGAGTTGGCATCTAAAGGAGGTAAATAAAACAGAAGGCAAGTTAATGATAAAAGTAGTATTATCTACATATAAACATATCTGCATCAGTTGTAGATTTTTTTCCTAATTACTCTTTTTTATAAAAGTTAATACCACAGTGATTAAGTCACTGAGAGGATTGGTTCTGCACTGTTGTACTCTCACACGACTGTCCTAGAGCATGTTTTGGAAATAAAAAGACCAGGCTACATTTACAGTCCAACATAGATTTGGGTCTATACTGCTCTCATGCCATCTAATTTTTCCGATCATACCCTAAAATCCTTTATTAGCCTTTCCAAAAACCATTAATGCTAACACATAAATACAGCGATCAAGCCAAAACACAACTGAAGTAAGTAAACGGCTGCTTCTCCTACACACTGACTTCAGAGACACAAAATACGGATGATCCCTTTGCATTTTCCTACATAGGACAGTTACCAATTGAATTTCGTGCACTACATTTTAGTATCCCATTCTGTATAGAGAGGACTGACAGGAGCTGCAGGAGCCCCTACAGAGACACTGTGAAATTATCTACATAAGGTTGTGAATTGTCACCACCCTCATTTCTCTGTATTTATTTCCCTGTGTAGACCCTGTAAGTTTGAAAGAATAAGCTCAATAAACCTACAAATAATATGAAAACAAAATATACTACTAAAGACTTCAGTTCGTTTTCTGTATGCACACAGGAGTCACAGAAGAGTAAGCACTCCTGTGCAGTCAATAAATTAGTGAATTTACAACAGCTTGTATTTATGTATTATTATAGATACAAACACTGGATGGCTAAAGTCACCATCCTAAAGTGAGCACAGATCTAGACAGTAAGTTGTATGCACATGTACAAATATAATGTCCAATGAAAGCTTGTTTGTGTCTGAACAGCAGTGCTAGAGGAACAAACATGGAACTGAGTAATTTAAATACATATGAACTGAAAAAAGTTTAATACACTTGAGTAAAATAATTAAGCTAGAGTATTTTCAGAAATTACATAAAAATATGAGACTACAAAGCTATTAGTGAAAAACATCACACTGAAATCAGGGCAGGATGTCAAGTCTTTACAAATATTATATAATTAAACTAAATGGAATCACTGGTTCCTAATATACCAGAACAGCAAATGCCACTGACTTAAGAGAAACTCAGGAAAAAATACATATATAGAACAAAAGGACCTACTTGCCCTGACAGCATTTAACCAGCAACAATCAGAAATATCTAGCTGCAGTTGTTTCTGGTTAGATCACAACAATCAACTCTCAGGATAGATATGTGCCACACAGTTAACCATGCTGATCAGAGGTTACAAGTTATCCATCATGTTCCAAACTAATTTCATACAGACAAAATCAAAAAAAAACCAGAATAGACTAACAGGAAAAGAGCAAACAATTAATCAAGACTGTTAATCAAAGAGGTAATTTCAGCTGCCTGAGGAAACTCACATTTTCCTGAGAAAGATTGCTGGTTGCTCTAAGGCCCTCATCATGGATATGGTTTTGTAGTTCCTGAATCATATGAGGTAAACCACTTGACACAGCACGAAGCAGAGTATACATATTTGCCATGTCTGTAACAGAGATACATTTTTATAGAATAGGGTTAGAAACACTAAAAATTGACACTTAATATAGTATCATAATTTCACACAGAACTTCTTAAAGACTGAAACAAGACTGTTTTGAAAAAAAAATTAACATACACTGGATCACTGACAAAATAATAAAAGGAAAGAGTAGGGCTAATACCAGTATTTACTGGGTCCTGACACTGTGACTAACTCACTCTTCCAATACTGCTTCTTCAGGAGAGAGTCCAAAAAGAGAAGTGGACTAGTATGGAGAAATTCTGTGCCAGTGGTGGCTTGAAATTTTTCTCAGGTTAGAAAAGCTATAAATAAGCAACTGCTATTTTTATGATTTTTTTATTCCTCCACCACCCCCCCCCCACTAAAAAACAGGTCCAAGCTCCGATCAAACTTGGAAAACTCCCTGGAAACTGAACACTATTATTAGATACAATTTGAGTTGGGCTGTAAAAAAATAATTTGTTTCACATAATAGATACCATCTTCCATGTAAGAGTAAGCATTCTTTCAAGGGTAAGAAGCATGTAGTCATCAGGAAGACTTTTTTTTAGTCAGGCAGAGAATCTAATTATAAGAACATCTCCTTCTTTAAAAAGGATTTGGGACAAGAGGTCACAAAAGATTCAGGACAATAAAAAAGCACTGTGAAAAGAAGCCAAAATATTCTATAATCCTGACCTGTCAATTGATGATGAAGAAATCTGTAAAGACAGAGCCATTGGTTTACAAATGAAAACACAAGCATAAAATATGATCAATTCTACAGGACACAGGACTTCAGTGCGTTTTTAAGCTAAGACAAGGAAAGAGAAAGAGCATTGGCCAAAAGTAGAGTTGTTAACAGTAAAAAGAAGGTTTTGACTACATATTTGGAAGAATGAAAGTTAATTACATGGTAAAAGAAAAACGTAATTCAGGGTTGAATTAGGATTTCTAGGTAAGTAACGTTAGCTGAAAGTACTTAAGTGCACAGAAGGCCATTGAAAAGAAGAGAGGAAATCCCAATGGTAAATGAATAAAACAAAAACCATTTTATGCTTTTTGTGACCACAGACTTACCACTTCTTTTCTCTTGTCTGATAATATTGTGACATTCTGCATGTAGAAACTGCAAGTGATCAGCTACCATCCTCTGTTGGCATTCATGAATCACTTTGCCATATGAGCTGGGATGCAAGTATTTCCGACACCTCATTTCTTCATCTTTTAATCTACCTAAAACCTGCAGACAAGTGTTTAAACTGAGACCTGAAGAAGTACTAACAACCAATATAGAAACAGAATATACAGCCATATATGTATGTAACATGAAACACAAGAATAAGTAAAAATTGGCAGGATGCCAAAAAATTAAATTTGCTCTTTTGAATCAGGCTTTTGCTGAAATAATATAATCTACTCCAAATACTGACTAGCAGCTTTCAGTAGTTCTCAAAACTTCTTTTTCCCTTCAACTTCGTGACCACTTTTCCCCAATTTCTCTTACCACGCTTCTTGCTCTTTCTGGAGAAAGTTTTATGACAACACCTAACTATAAGAGACTATAAGAACCACTTTACTGCTCCAAATCCATCTGCTTGTACATAAAACATCTGCTCAATAGGTACAGGAAGGAAATAGGCATCATAAAATAAGTCATGTGAATGCTGACATAAAAGCACTTACATCCTGTGAATATGAGGGGAGTCTAGGGAGAGTAGTGCAGCTGCAGAGTGTTAACAATAGGCAAAATTAATCTGCATTGCTTTTGGTTTAGTTGAAGTCTTAGCCTGTCCCTAAATTTCACCACAGGTGTGCAACCATTAACTTATGCTCCTTATGGTTAAAAGCAATTTCACAGCCTTCTCCTCAACTTTTCTGTGTTGGTAGTGTGGACAGTATAGCACCAAGGACTGACTCCTAGTCTTGTATTAATCTTTGTTTTCTAATCTTTGTTTTCTCAAACGAGGTATAAGAATTATAAGTTAATATACTTGACTTTATACACCACAAAGCAAAACAAAAGAAAATCCATCTCAGAGTATGTAATTTTTAATAATGTTCTGTAACAACCTAAAGTCTCCTTTAACCACTATGATGCAAAAACTCTCGTCTTATGCTACTCTAAACTGAAAGAAAACAAGGAAGTGAAGAAGTAATACTGATCAACCTGATCCGTGTTTTATTTTTTGTCTTCTTTTTTTACTTCACATGCTGCTAATTTATTATTTATTATGATATATTTTGATGCCAACCATCCATCCATAGCAAGGTTTGTAGTTTATGTTCAGATTAACCATGTCACCAAAAAGTATTGCATGAAAGCATAACAAAGAACAACTATAACTGTAGAGGAAAACATATATCATCAGTAAAATGATAATACTAGATTTTAGTTATTGCATGTGTACCAAAGAATCTCTTACCTTCTCCATGTACTGTGAGCAATTTGACTCTTGCAATAAATTTGAAGCTTCTTGTTTATAATACTCCCCTGTTTCATTCAGAAAAGGACACTCAAAAATTTCCTGATAAAACTAGAAGGGAGAATTTTTTTTAAAGGACAAATAATGCATATACTGGCTTTACATTCAAAATTAAAAACATAGAATCAGGAATATGTATCTACCTTTAGGGGGAATTTTTTCTTATACTGTTCAACATGAACAAAGGAGTTAATAACCCCATGGATTACTTTCTGGTTTGGGTCTTCTCCACAGCGATCACTGAAATAGGCAAAGCAAACATTTATGAAAATGCAGGTATCTTGTGTAATTCATCTGATAACTGAATGAAATAAAATTGGATGAAAACATTTTCCAGTAAACTCCTCTGCTTAAATTGGCAAAATTGAAGAAGATTTATCTTAAAATAAAAAATGCACTCTTCTTTCTCTAATATACGTTTGAGTTGTTGAGACAGTAATTCAAAAGCATTTACAGGTCATGAAATTTCCAAGTGTTTGCTAAGGATATAAGTATTCCAAATTACATATTCTGAGCAAGTAGTTCAAAAGATACAGTAAGTTCCATCTTGTATTTGTAGCCTTTATTATATAGACTACCTTCACACTCTTGCCCCTGCCAAAAAAAATCCATAGCTTTTACCAGCATCACAGCAAGAAGCATGCTATTTTCTTTTCTGAATATCTACTATCCAATATGTAGATCTCAAGTGGAACAAATAACACACCAGGCACATTGTCACAATATTTAATCATACATCAGAAAAGGAAAACCTTATGTTTTCCAGTCAATTTCTTAGCTTCAAACCAGGGAGTTCAAGAAAACATTATATTTAGTTCCATTTAGTTGAAAATAAAAGTAATTAAAACAAGTGTTTTGCATGCTAAAAACATTAGTGCTCAGTCCTTTGCAAAACTGGAAATACCAGACCCACACTCAGAACAGCAGGGACTTTCTCTTAAGACATGAAAAGTTCTAAAAAAAGACCATTTTTCATATGCACTTTGCAACAAAGTAAAAAAATATTCCCTAACTCCTAAGGTGTTAAGTAGAACTAAAATATGATTTACAAAAGTATATTTACGCATAAGCACCCATAATTTTGAAGGTTTTTCTTTTTAAAATATTTATGTACACATATATGCATGTATATAGAGTAAGAATTTCTACTTTACCTAGACTGCACTAAAAAGACAAAATGAGTTCTCTATTAGAAACTTAACGTTGGTATAGGAGAGTCATTTACATGACTGATTAGAAAAAAGGTAAAGCCAACAAAAATATACTTCAAACCCAAGCCTTATCATATACCCATCTTGGCTGGGGTGGTGTGGGGGAGAAGTAATTTTGCTCATGTCATTTGTTTTAGTTTGTAATTTACAAAAGTTCCAGAGGATACCCATGAACTGGGGAGGTTTACCAGCACAGCCACACCAGCAGTCATCGTACTACACACACCAGACCATCTTCATACGTTCACAACACTGTTAATTACGGGTATTGCTTTCAAACACGACTTCTGTCTAAGATCTGAAAACTTGGGCTCACGGTGGGTGTAAAGAACTAGCTCTCTAACAGATTATGAGCAGTGACAGTACGGTTTACGCAGCTTCATCACCCATTATAAGTGAACTGAACTGACAGGTTCCATCAGGGATGGTCTGATTTTTCCACCCAGGGAACAGCAAGATTTCCTCTGGTTGTGATAGCTGAATCAACAGAACAAATCTGAGTTTGGGTACATGTAATCACACCCTGTATCCTTGCCAACATCCCTCTACAGGTCTGGTTTACAATGGCAGAGGCAGCAGCACAGAATCATAGAAGGGAAGAAGTGAAACACCTGCCCTGGGCCTAGATATAACTCCAGCCTGGAGGGGTCCAGGAGCATGGAAAGCTGCAGGATGCATGCAGCCTGTGAACACAGTGCTATGTCATGGAGTGCAAGAAGCCACAGAACTAAGAGTTTAGCATGTTACAAAGCAGGGCTCTAGCAAGAGACAGTCCAGCCCAGCTCTAACACGCAGGGTTTCTGGACCTGGAAAGGTACTGGTGACACAAACACAGGAAGCATTACTGCAACAACAGCTCCAGTCCCAGCTCCCCTCTGCTCAGTTCAGAGGCCACTTCAGACCTTAGTCCAGGCAGATGGGGGAGGGGAGGGGGCAGCAATGGTCAGATCCAGGGGATTTGAAGGACAACGTATCATTAGGAAAAAGCTGTAAAAGTAGAGGAGACGTGCTCCCCAGAAGAGCTGGGAGGAAGGAAACAAGTTTTCGAAGCAGAGGTCAGATCGCAGGAAGATGATAAACAAAAACAAGTGCAGCATGGAATAGGCTGTGCCTGCTCTGGCAGCAGCTTCAGGTTTTTATTTACACCAATGGTGCTCTGCTCCCAGGAATTTGTAATGCAAATGACTAGTTTCAACAAAATTTGAGAAGTTTCAAGGATGACTTTCATGAAAGTTGTAGTAGTAAGAGCAACTGCCAAACTAAAATGAAATAGAGGACTCCACCAAGGTAGAGTATCAAATGTACATCTTCCTTCTTGGCAGTAGTCAGCAAGCAACAGGGATGCTTAGAGTTACATAGCAGCTGCCGCACAGTTTGAAGCAGGGATATCACAGGACATCTGGGAGGATACGAGGGAATGATGATGTTTGGTGAGGAACATGGATAAAAACATTAAGTGCTAGAAACACAAGTTCCACTAATTTAGGTGATGACAAGTTTCTTTTTTCAAAAAAAAATGGAAAAAGTTACAAAACACAAGCTAAAGGAAGTTGTGCTGCTTAATATTAATTCCATATTGTTCCTGTCTTAAGACTAAAGCTAACAGTGGAAGTCCAACAAGTGTTGTACAGTGTACTACTACTACAAGTTCAAAGAACATTTTTAAAATTTAAGGTACAATAATAAATACTGGATTTATTAAAAGAAGATTCCATCATTCAAAAGAACTGCTCTGCTCTGTCAAACCAAAGGTCTTTTGAGGCCAATTAACTACAGAATTCACTGTCAATTAGAAGAGCCCATTCTGAACACTTTTTAAAAAGATAACTTCCAATAGCTTTAATTTCAAACAAATGGTATAAACAATGTATCAGCTTAGACAGGAACAGGTCCAGTTAGTTAGAAAGTGTTAGTTATCTTTAGCAGAGAAGCCTCTCCTGGTTAGTCTGTACTAATCACACTGTCATTTGAGATAGCACCTGAATAATTTCCAAATTATTTCTGCTTAAGAATTTCATAGATGAATTTTCTCACAATTCAAGATCTTGTCGGCTTCCTGTTGTGTTGGAACAAAAATGCTTAAGTTGATATTCAGCTTGCCTTGTAGGAGGAGTGCTTGGGCTAGAGGGAGGGGGGAGAAAGTGTGTTATATTCAGAACTCTATATTAACTAGTGCAGTCAGACAAGACAGGCTTAAACGATTTAAGAATTTCTGCCTTTCAAGGGGGCTAACCCTGCTCCCTTTTGCTCAGTCACAGGCCTCTCTATCTCTCTTGCTTTGCTTTGGCACTCATCTAATTCTTTGCTGAATTGACTCATTGTGCCAATCTGGAGAAATAGCAGCCAAGATGGTTTTCTGTCGTATTAACCAGCAGTTGAGCTGGTTCACTAAGGGACTAGAGGAGCACCTAATTCAGCACATGAAAGGTAGTAGAGCAGAGCCTGCTCTTTTTTGGCATCAGTAAACTCTTAGATCAGTTTAGTCATTTTGTTTAGCTGAACCACAAGTCACTACTTGTATTTCTTTATTTTCACGTACCCAAAGAAGTTTGTTGTTAATTTTAATGTGTACTGTATTGCACAAGCTCATAAGCTTCTAAAAGGTCGATGTGCTCAAGATTTTTGTCAGAAGTCTTTAAAATTCCAGGTAAATACACTGATTTCAGGTAAATACACCTGAAAGAAAAAGCTGTGGCTCTGCTCCCCTACCTTTTCCAGGACAGTAATAAACACACTTTTATTTGCAGCCAGTTGACTACAGTGTTGGTTATCAACTTCACATATTGTCATAGGCTATGCAAAATCTTCTCGCCAGAAGTAGTTCAGCTGTCCCATCTACATACGTTTTAGTTTCTTAGAGGTGTTGTAATAAATAGAACCATGCACACACAAGTACTATTAAGAAGGTATATTACAGAGGAGGTTTTAAGCACATACATGTATTAGTAATTTTATTACAATTTTTAGGTAATATTATTCCCATGCATATTCTTGCATCTCTCACAGATGTAACTTATGGATATATATCCATTTCTCCAAAGACCTTGTTTAATCCCTGAACTCCCGAATTCAATGCTAGAAGACATTTAATAGTAATTTGCAGCAGTGTCTTTAAAACTGCCTCTTAAAAACTGTATTGACCACTGAAATCACAGCTAAGAACAGCAACCAGCCTAGAGTTACATGCAAAGGCCATCCTCAGAATCCCCACAGTGAACGCTACATTTCATGATAGCAGGAAAAAAGCTATAAGTAGTTCTCTCTCATATAATTCATTAAATGATATGCAGATCACAAAGTGGCTAAAAGAAACTTAGTATGAATAGTTATATGTGTATTTTGAGAAGCAGAATTGCATTAACTTCTTTGAGATCACACAAAAGAATCCTTAATAAAGAAGGGGGAGAAATCCAGATCCAACCATCAGAGACAATGACTCAAGTTTTATTTAAAATTTTCCAAACAGTTTAATTACAAATAATGTCAACTTGTTACAGTCTCAAGCCTCCTCCAAAGCCAGTGGACAGCCTTGATCTAAACACTCTTGTGAGGTCTGCAGTCAGCCTCAAGGTAAATACACATCATTACTCTTAAGAGGCATCAGATCTCTGTTGAGAAAGGTTTTTACACACATTTCCTCTCCCACCCACCAGTGAAATACACGCATCAACTAAAACAAGTCTTCAATATCCCTGTGCCTGATGTAGCAAAGGAGAATTTTCTTCACAGTGAATTAGGGAATCCTCCTTTAATAAAAATAAATTGTTACAGTATAAATATATGGATAAAGTAGTATCGGCCCTGGTTACAAAGGCACTACAGTTCAACAACTGAAAGCAAGTAAATACTTCCTGGCCTCAGAAATGCCATCCAAGACAGACATCATTTGGGAATGAAAAATAAAAATAAAATCTTAAAATTAGGTTTTTAATGCCTTATAAATAGTTTTTATCTGACCAAATGCATGTCAAAGGAACCTCAACCAGTCAAATTACCTCTCTCAGTTTACCTACACTAGTCTGGTCACCTGAGTGACCACTTAAAAAAACCCAGTCATCAGCAACTCCAGAGCTACCCTAAATAGCACTAAAATTGTAGAAACTGATGGAACTTACAGCTACACACAAGATCTGTAGTAAATCTCAGTATTTCTGTTTATGCATAAATAAAAGGGTCCTTTAGGAGTTAAGTAGAAGTTTTAAATTGAAACTTTAAAAGTCTCAAGTCCTGTAGCTACCAGGGTCTTTGTTTAGAAGGAAAAAAAAAAGAAAAACATATTCAGAAATAAAATAATAATTTCCCCTCAAAGTGCAAAAAAATAATTATTTCCACTTCCTTCAAGTAAAGCAGCAGGACTGTTAAGTGAAGCACTCATCTGAACAACAGAAACCCACAAGCTTGGTCTTCCTGGCAGATAAGCAAGAATTGTTCTGGGTCCCATGCAAAGAAATAGCTTCTCTGGCTTTGGCAAATCTTTGCCCAAGGCCTGGTCCTTAACTTTACTGACAGCACAGAAGCCACAAGCAGTCAGCATCAGGCGGTGAAAAAGGCAAGAGGCATCCTATGGGACCTGGAGAATTATTCTAACTCCTCCCCAATCCCATTGATAAGAAGGAAGAAGGGTTGCTGAAACAGGGAAGATCACCACTCCGAGGCTACAGGGAGTGGACTGTTTTGTTTTCAGAGCCTTTTTCTACACATGCAAGCCACAAATATGTAGCTACAATGAGAAAAGCTGATAGACCATCATCATCAGGTAAGAAGTTACCTTAACAAAACCAAACATAAGAGAATCCACTCAAAATCCACAGACTTTTCAAAGTAAAAACAGTGCAACACCCCTTCCCCACACTATGTTAAAACAAAAAACAATCAAACACTCACTTTTTTATTTCTCGGAGGAGCATCCGAATAAGGATGGCCTGCAGTGGCTCAATCATTAATTTTCTCCACATATCAAGAGCTAGCTGTCAGGACACAACACAAGTTTACATCAGTAAAAAGTACAAAACCAAACAAAAAAAAAACCCCAATGAAACCCAGAACTATACCAAAGATGACATCGTTTCTCATTCCGGATTTTAAAAATTAAATTTTTAGATAACCTTTCTCCTTTCTTAATTCTTTTGTCATTCTCCTCTCCCTACCCCCCTCTACACCCTGCCTGTTCTCAATATATTAATACATTATTTTCACATTTTTCTTCCAGAACATCTGACTGCATTTGGATGAAGATCACACAGATCTGTACACTAGCAGTGTCAGACATGGAATTTCTAGCCAGGCAGTATCTAAATGCATCCTTCCCAGCCTGCATTCTTCCTACACAGCTGATAGAACTGCTTCATTCCTTGGTTCCACTCCATCAAGTATTCTCAAATGCATATAAGGACCCCAAGCAAGCTGGTTACAAGGGCAGATTTTGCGTGTACTTATGAACAAAACATCTGCACAGTAGTAGGTAAATAACACACCTTTCCATCTGGAGCGTTTGAATGTGCACAAAACGCAGTATTTCTAAAAATGATGGCAAAATAAGCCTCAGCTGACAAAAGGGAACATCTCCTGGCCAATTTGTCAGGGGTCAGAGTTAAAGATACAGAATCCTTTCATCCAACACACAGAGAGTATCTCCAAACTAAGATGCACACAGCTTAAGCAAAGTCACTGGCAAGCTGTTTGACTTCAAATGGAATACAAATCACCTTCATATTACAGATAGGCCACCCTATTGTTAACATATCATTAGAGGAATCAATCAAATGGACTCAATTATCTCAAATTCTTGTGGTGAAGTAATTGCTCCCAATATACCATTTTTAAAAAACACACCTGCAATCATTCAAATGTGCTTTTACACTTAAGCCAAAATCAGACTTAAAGCCCAAAGGGGATAATGTGGTCCCTCATATACACTTAAAACCACACATATAAGACCTCCCAAAACACCTACCAGTGAGTAGTAGACTGGGGAAAAATTACACTGTAAAATTTAGTGAGGATAGAGAGAATATTGCTGCGAAGAAGGTTTTGACACAGTAGATCATTAGCTTTAAAAATTAAAATATTAATCAGATATGTCTTAACTGAAAGCAGGCACATAGCTATTGAGTAGGTATCCAATCTGATCCACTCTGTGAAATAAATCTTCCTTTTAAATAGCAGACAAACTAACTTGCTCTGACCAGCTATGCAGAACCCGTGCTGAAATACAGGGTACAGAAGGCAAACCTGACCCAACTGCGTCATAAGCAGGTTAAAGAAGAGATAAAAGTTTGCTTGTAAATCAAAAGACAAATAATGTTTTGAAATCAAAGTTGTCCTAAGAGTGATTTTCACCGTCTCGCCTGTTACAGAGTAGTAGTAAAACAGTTAAGTTTCCCTAAGACAACAGGAACTCATCCAGCAGAGAACACTGAAAGAAGCCAGCTCTGAAGAGAGAGAAAAGGGTGGAGGGAAAGAAAAAGGAAAAGAACTGTGCCTATGAGGTGAAGAGAAACAACCTCAGGTAGATCTATTCTGCAACATGGTTTCTGAAATGTGGTCTCTAGCATGGTCCTTCTCACATAGGAGCTACCAATCTGAAGCAGATTCAAGTTTCCTGCTAGAGTTTTTTTTGTCAAATAAACTACAGACAGATCAATCTGGTCAATCCAGCAACCTGATATATTAGTTCAAGACAGTTTTTCCTCCTTGAAGAGAGGAACTGATCTTACTTCAACTAGACTGGTAATACAGAATGTGGCGATTTTCTCCATTTTCCAGAATCTATTTCTGAGGGAAGAAAAAAACCCAGAAGGCACATCTCCATTGTGTTCTATTCAGGGCGCCCATGGAGTTATTGAAAATTCAGGAATCTGAAATTGGTGATAGGGGCTCAATTCAGAAAAGCAGTATCCTTCACCATGCATCCATAACATAAGAGAGGAAAGAAGCAATCTCTTGCAAGCACTGGCAGACTATTTTCAGCAACTGATCTCATCCTGTATGTTTCCTAGGACAACCATTTCTGAATGTCTGGAACACTTGTCAGGATGATGAGCTGTTTGAAGCCATGCCCATACACTTCACATACGCACCTCCGGTCTTATGTACGTACCTATTGTTACACACCCCAGAAGAACTAAGCAAGCATGTACTTGTCTGAGGTTACTGAAAAGCTCTCAAAGCTCCATTAGCACACATGAGTGATGTTGAGACAGAAACTTCAGTACAGAGAGTACAGTTCTTCTACAAATGCTGGGCATTACTTCTGTGACTTGATGCTGAGACTGAAGAGAACTATATATAAAATAAACACATTTGCTCTTGGGTAGATAAAGGCCAGATAATCTGAGTCATCTAAAAAATGAGAAATGAAATTCCTTCCATTCTAAAGTGACAAACAACTGAAATATTTGCACTTTAGGTAAAGCCCCTTGTGCAATCCAGGGAATAAAAGATAGAATCCTACAGGAACTATCATTAAAAAGAAAATCCTTTCCAAAGACTTGATAAACTTGGCAAGTGCCTTGTAGGTCAAGAAATGTGAACTGGAGCAACAAATTCACCAAAAACAGTGCTGCAATTTAATACAAGAGTATAGGCCTCAAGTCTCTATTACTTTTCAGGACAAACCTAATCCTACACCAGTCATGAACAGAGTTTAACTTTAGTGCCTCAAACCCAAATTTTACCTCCCACTATTACAGATTACAAAGACAGTATTTATTAAAGAGAAATGGAAGGAGTCTTGCAGAGTGAGGTAATGAAAAACTCATTAGTAGAATTTCAGACATCGTCATCTGAACACCTTCATCAAAAACCAAAAGGCTGCCAGCTACAGCTTAGGAATCTTGATCCTCCCCATATCCTGCCCAAAAAATGAGCTAGGAATGTATCCTCCTTGGAACAATGGCTGGGAAGCTTGAAGAAAGTGTGTGCCACTGCCCTTCCGCCCCACTCAGGATTCCACAAACATGAAAAAAACTGAATACTCAAAAAACCCAGGTTTACCAACTCTGATGTTTGTTCTTGTTTGGTAAACATTAACTAGGACAGAAAGCTATGGACAAAAGTTGCCACTACCATCCTTTGGGCAATACCTCAGAATGGAGCAGCACTCAAGTGGGGAGAATTCATTAATACATCAGCATCACCCAAGAACAATCCTGGACCTATTCCCAGCCCCCAAAGCAGCTGAACTAACAGTTATTCACACAGGACTATGATTTACCTCTGACAATCATGGGAACACACTGTGCTAAACCTCAGTCTGAGGAACTAGGGAATAACATTTATGCCATTTTGAGATACCATAAACAGTGCAGCAATATGCATTTCCAAGCTCTGATAAGCCTTTATAGATGCCACTGACAGCAAGCCTTGGAGACAGCGTAGATAGAAGAGAGAAGAATTTCCTTCACTAAAATGCCTTGATTTAAAGCACATAATGTTTCTGGTGTTTGTTTCAGCCCATCCCCAACCTGCCAGAGGATTAGCAATTTCAACTGGCAGTGCCCTCTTCATCAGCTGGGTCAGAAGTACAGAAAGTGCTTCCTCATGCATCACAATCTCGCCTTACTCTTAACTAAAGGCAGCAGAGATGTTCTGCTTCAAACAATGAAATCAAAGAGCCAGAACAGTAATCACTGACAGGTCAAGTTCTGACATTAAGAAAAAAACAAGCATTTTCTCTAGCCTTCCAAAGCAAAAGAGAAGAGGTATTCACTTACTGCTATAGAGAAAAAGGCAGATGTAGAGAGGAAAGGAAAAAAATAAGATACCAAAACATATAATGACAGAATAAATTCTCCAGCTAGCAGCATGTGTACATATGGACCCAAAGCAAACAGATACACACACAAGCAATCAAAAAACAAGTTGGTAGTCAGCTGTATTCAGGACTGTGATTTTATCCTGATGCAGACTGAAAAAGTGTTTTCAAAATCTTTTTAAAGACATACTGAAGAATTCTTTAAGATACAGTGCTTCTTTCTCAACTGTAAAATTGTCTTTTTGCTTTATTGTCTTATACTTCATGGTAAGATTAGCCATCAAGTGACAAACAACACAAACACTGCATAGTTGCAGTGCATGGAGTGAAGTCTCAGAATGTAGTCTTACTGCTGACAGGATTTTTTATTTTGTAAGTATTTAAAAATTACTCTCAGCCTCTCCACTAGTAACTGTGACAACACCCTTGTGCCTGCCACAAATTACTTTTTTTTAAAAAATAAACCCTCCCTACATGACACTTTTGTGCACAGAATATCTACTTTTCTTTCAAAATCTGAGTTGCTACAACTGAATTTCAAAACAGCTTGCATAAGAAAATAAGATGTGCAGAAGACTAATCTCAAAAAAAGCTTTTGTACCTTGTGTCATCAAGAAATAGAAGCCTAAAAGTAATATTTTAAGGGTTTCCAAAAACAAAATTACTGCTTTCTCAAACTGTTTTCTTGATAGTAGTGTCACTTAATAATCCAAAGTGTGTTTAGAAGTTATCATATTTTAAAACTGAAATTCTCCAATAGTTTTCATATTTGCTTTTTTCGCCTGCCAGTATTTATCTACATCAAAACTGTATTCTCATTTTACAAAGGGCTCAGTGCTTACATACTCTACAATATTCCTATTCTGTAACACAGAAAAGTAAAAATGTAAAAGGACAGAGCTGAACTTGCAGCACTTCTGAATACAGTTTATATCCAGCTCACTTTCAGAGATACCTACCTCTCCAATTTCCATCAAAGGTTCATTCATATCCACCCCTCCATAGCCATACTGAAGATCAGCTTCAGTCAATTTGTTCTTCTTAATAAACTGTGTGTTGAGGTACCTATAGAAATGAAGATATTCTAATCAAAACAGGTAAAAGCTCCTTTTTTTTTAATAGATTTGGAATTAAGGAATGTCTTTACAAAATATAACCTCCTTTAACCAGTGCCAGTGCCATTTGTAGGAAAATCTTAAAAGATAAATTACCTCAATTTAAAAGACCTTACATCATATTAAAATAGTACAGTGTTGGTAATTGAGAAATCAAACAAGAGCCTGATATATCACTGTCAGCATTTTCTTGGTGAGCAATACACTTGTGTAAGAAACCAACCTATGCACTGGCATATTAACTCATACATATATATGCAAAATAACTGCTAAACTCTGAGCAGTTGACTGGTATTAGAGCAATAGTGGTTTATTTATTATTAATGATAGAAAACCACTCCTGAGTATCAGATATTTTTAAGTTAGAAGTATTTTCTCTACCTCTATTATTTATTATTTTGCATTTCTCTCAGACTGAAACACAGAAGTACTGTCAATTTTAAGAGGGCAAACATTTGTCAGTTATGACCCCTGACCCAGGTCATGACAACTAGCAAACAGCCAGATTACAAATTTTATAGAGAAGAATTTGTAGAAATTATTTTAATTAACAGTGATAAAGAAGAAATGTTATAAATGTTTATTTTTTTGTACTCTGTATTTACTATTGTATGCATAGTTTTTACAAATAACAGAAAATGGTTTCTGTGCAAGACCTGGGAAAACATCCCTCTTGATTCCCAGTATTTCCATAAAGCAAATATTATAACATACTTCTGCACCACTCTCCTTTCCCTGATAACTGGGAAAAAATTATAATATAGTTCATAACTATACTTATAATATTTCTTATGTTAGTGCTTAAATGAGACAACTGAGAATGTTTTTTTAACTTCTGATCTAACCAGCAGTTTTGAGATGCCCAGTTTCAGAGACTGAAAACAGCCAGCACTTGAAGAGATTCAGTGTTCAGAGGCTGCACCAGATTGTGATGCCTGAACACTCTGGGCAGGAAGGCAAAAGCCAAGCAAAGGAGAAAAGGAGAAACACGCTGTGAAAACCTGTGAACTTGAAAGAATTTAGGACACCACAGAGTCCAAAGAAGGAAGACTTGTGACAGTGCAGCGATGACAAACTGGAATACAGTGGCCTAACCTACTTTTAGACTCTTACAGAGAACTGTAAACCCCTCTGCTATCATTGATAACCATCACAAACTGTAAATGCAGGTCTGTGCAGAAGGCTACAGGCCCACTATTTCATACACAACCTGTAAGGACATCCAGAATAGTTGGAACACCAGCCTTAGCAGGCATGCTCCTTGATGGTATTTTTCCCAGACTCCACCATGTGAACAAAGCCAACAGCTGCCAGTTTACTTTTTCTTGTTAAAAAGGAAAGCCCCATGCTCTCCTCACTCACACCTTCTCTCTCCATCAGTACATACAGAAAGAGAACCAAGACTAGCATAAAGAACTAAAAATTGCTATACATTGATATGCTGGTATTATTACAACTGTTTTAAAAAAAGATAAAACGGAACAAAACAAAAGCAGCACTATGTGTGTTTAGATTTTAGGATTTTATTATGAGCAAATTTTAAAAATTCTGGTTTTTTTTTCTTTAAATCACTTAATTTCAATTTGCTGAATAAGAAAACCCTCCAATTAATTGAAATAAAAGTACACAGACCAGATTTTTTACAAGTATCTATGAAAACAGTTACAGCACCAAGACACTGATAAGCTCTAATGTCCAGCATTGTTTTTATCATTTTTATCATCAGAACTAACCAAGACAACTGAAGAAGGTTATTTAATATCAACTGTTTCTTATTCCATCAGTTTTATCACCTATATTTAGAGTCAAGCATATGTGGGATTTTAGTTTTCAAACTGAATCTAAATTTGTTTTCCTAGCAAAATGCACCCAGGAGGGTGGGTGAAAAAAAAACCAAATCAAAATCAACACCAAAGAAAGAAAACATTTGTCTCATTTGCCAATCTCATGATTACTCTTGCATTTTAGGAATTTTGCTCAAAAGTGTCTTAAACGAATCTATTTTTAAACAACATTAAGATTATTAGCTGTAAAAATCAATCAGTTTTCATTGCTGGAAGAATTACACAAATTAGAACCTGGGATACAACAGAGTCAACTAATTTATAGTATTTTTTTGAGAGCAGGCATGCAAGTAAGAAAATAACTCCAACCACTTTATAAAAAGCAGAATATATTCTTAAGGTCTTCAGAAGTACTTTCATCCAAAACATTCTCTCAAAAAACAAAACATATCCCCTCCTTGCAGAAGAATCCCTAGGACTATGACCTAATTCACTGCAGGGTTGATTAGCACCAGTACATTTGGCACTGCAACATCAGGTAGAACATACTAATAATGAAAAAAGAGTAGGAACCATCTTAGATAACTTACCTGCTGAGGCATTATTCCCTTTTGCTCATGTTCTGCTACCATAACTATATTCTCCCCAAAACTGACCTGGAGCATATTCATCTACTGCTCTCTTTAAGCAATATTCTTCAACTTAACCTGCAGATCATTGTAATAATTTCAAAAGTTTAAGAACTCTTTTGCAAATCTTACCTGTATAAACAGTCCATATAGTCTGCCCCTTTGCTATACTCTTCCCAGTATCTGTGATACATAACCAGTACTTGTTCTTCAGCTTCCAGAACTCTCTGTGAAGGCACACACCCCCCACTAAAATTAGTATGAAAATATCTTGCATACTTAGAAAGTTATAATGGGATTATCATTTTGGAATAGCAATCACATATTCAGAATTGTTGCATTGTTGCAATGACCACATCTTCACATTGCCAAGTTTTAGTAAACCAGCTACACCACCTGGTGCTGCTTTATTTTGCATTTAAAACCAACATTCTCTCTACTGTATTATTTTCTATTTATCTTTTCAAAAGTACTCACTTGAATAAGCATGGTTCATATTTTCACATCATTCTGGTGGGATAACCTGCATAATTATTCCCTCACTGACACATCAGTTTTAAATACACTCAGCCACATGCACACTGGAGGAATTGCCTAACTATAAACATTTAAAACCAGTGTGCCTTACTGGATAGACCAGGCCTCATACTTACCAAGAGTCATGCAATAAAGCAAGTTTAACAAAGCACAGATATGTATAAACATAAAACACATTTGAAGTTTTGCTAATCTAGGCCCATATCTTTTGAAATTTAAGGTAATCATCAACTAAAAAGTTGCTGATGCACTCATCTTCTCAAAATATTTATACTTCAAAGAAATAAGTTCAACAATTTAAACTAATTATTACGATTTGTGAGGGAGAATATGATCCTAGGAATTCAACTATAATTCTCTCTAGAGTTTATAATTTTAAAATCTGGCTCAAGCAGCAATGAAGCCCATGCAAAAAATGTAAAAAAATGTAAAACAGGAAAGCTGGTAGACAAAACAGAATTGAGAATGCCTTCTGCTGCAGAAGGCATTTTGCAAAGCTTTTCCAACATTATTTCAAAGACAAGTGGTGGATGGCCAATTTAAAAACACGGATGTGTGCTTTCCGCTACTTCCCGCTGCTTCTACTGTGCTGGCACCTGCCTGATTATCCTAAGTGAGCTCATTCAGCTCACTAAATAATGAGGAAGAACTTTTTTGGCAGAGCTCTCTGCTAGTTTAGTGAACTGATTTAATCTAGCAAAGTGTCAGAATTATCCTCTCTGCAACCAGTGGAACTACCCACTAAGACACCCAGCCCATCTTGTCAAATACTCAGGTACATAAGCTCAAAAAACAGCACCAAGCCATTTAGCAGCACTATCCAGAATTTGCAGCACTCTATCCCCTCTAAAGACACTAAAGGCAGGCAGGAATCTTATTTAAATCTACTTCTCTTTTTATTGATACACAAGGAGACACTGTTCATCCATCCTATCTACTCAACATGATGAACCATGATTCTGATGAAATCCGCTGTCTTGGCTAATGAAACAGAAGTTAACCCACAACTATACAGGTATACAAATATTGTTATTTGTCATAATAAATAATTTGCCATTATTTTCTCCCCTCCCAAGCATTTTTGTTATTTCCCACATATTTCAGAAGTTGGTTGGGTTTGTTTTAGCAGACTATATACAATCAGTTTCCAAGACAGTGCAGTAGATACTTTTCTGTTGAAACAGAAGGCTAACAACAAACTACAGTACATTTGGAAAATTAAGACATTTCTGTAAATTGCTTGATAACAAGCATTCAACAAAAAAGAAAGAACATTTCAAGCCAATGAATGCATTATATCAACTGTAACTGTTGGCTTAGAAAGAAAATTCTTTCTTTAGAGTTGCATAAACAGATATCTATAATATTATGTTATGTGATATGTGTTACATATACCACATATATAAGTATTGTGTCTCTGGAACTCTGTCACCTTCAATTTAGTCTCATAAAAAAATACAAACAAACCCCCTTCTTCAAGTCAAAAAAGAACAAACAACACCTACATGCCCACCAGTAACTGTACTTGTTACCTTGTGCAAATGCCGTACGTGATTTTCCAAAAAAATTTTAGTCTCAGTATAAAGTCTCTCTCCAAGAGGTTCAGGATAGGCCACACACAAAGCATAAATGTCTCTGGGCTCAAAGTCAAGGTTTGTATTAAAGTGTGAAAACATATCAACAAAATTTATAATTTACAGAACCTTTTTTTCTTACACACATGCAGTTTAGGTGGGTTTTGTTTTATAGTCAAGCAAAATAGATAAAATGGATCATTTTCTGAATTGGTGTAAGCACTGGTTTGTGAAGAATTTAAGTTTACAGCATTAATACTAAATTTTAAATAGTGGATGATGGGGGAATGTTAGAGCTAAGATCCTGAAACTTCTAGTAGCCCCACGCTGATGTGGCTTCTATCACTTATTTGCCATCTACGAATAATATACAATTATCTCAAAGTGAAAACGCAGCTTTCACGCACAACTCTTCCGTATTTGCAGCCAACATGAACTGAGACTCTTTTCATATAATGGAAAGAAGCCTTAATTAGGTTAAGAATGTGATTAGGCAAGTACAGAGCAGAGCAAACATCAGGTGAAGCCGACTTCAAGTCTTCCTTCCCAGAGTCCAAAACAATTTACTGCATTTTACCCCCAACTCCACAGGTAAAACAATTTTGGGGGACACTGAAAATTAAGTAATCACAATGGTGGTGTGCATAAAAAAAAACTGTTTCATTTTTAACCATTATTATAAGTTCAGTAATCCTGTTTAGATCACAGCCACACAAAACAGTTCTACTTGCTAACTTAAAGCAGCAAACACTGAAAACCCTTAGGCTCATTTTCTCCTTAAAGCACCTTGCAGAGCCACGCCTTTGGTTTGCAACATTTATATCGAGTTTTAAGAGTTGCTCAATGCTTTGTCAGGAAGAGAATTTATGACTAAGAATTTTGCTTTCAGAAAAGTCAAGCAAGGATTAGGTCGAGCTTCACGTGGGGAAATAAACTCATTCTGAAAAAATTAGTTTAAAACATCATGTTTATCTACTAAACCAAGGCATTAAAAGACTGGCCATACTAGAAATACACTTTATAAAACCATTCATGCTAGAAATAATGATTTAGTCGATTACTTTAATTAAAGGAAGACATAAGATCTGCTTTCCTCTAGTCTACCCCAAAAAAGCACATGCCCATGTAAAAGGAGGTAAAGGACAAAGACAGTTGACAGCTTAGTCTACAGAGCAGTGTCAAGCTCTCATCACACAGCTTTCTCCAAAAGCATGTTTAATTTTTAATATACTCAAAACAAATATATACTACCAAAAAAAAAAAAGATACTGATGTAAGATAACTAATTAGAAAAAAAACCCCTTCATTGGGCAACTGGAATCTCAGAGAGCCCCACCAGAATCTAATCTTGTGTACAGTTATTTCATCCATATAGATCATCTTTATCAGAATTCTTCTTGGAAAGGCAAGAAGTATTAAATGAAAAGCCCAACAAACAAAACAGGCAGCATTCACTGCTTTGTTACAGTAAATAGCATTGCACTGCAGTAGCTTACAAAGCTGTAACCAATAAAATATAAAAACCCCTATTAAATTAATAGTGAAGAATGAAACATTTTTTTAAAGATATTATAAAGAACAATTGTTTTTTTACACTTTCCCCTCTCCAAGAAATTTTCTCAGTCTAAGGATGGCTGGTAGTCAAAGGCATCCTCAACACAATTCAGATCACAAGCCTCTTCACTATGCAAAGATATCTTTGAGAAAATAAACTCCAGAATTAGAAATCTTTGTAAGCTGCTCACAAGCAAAGGGAACTTGACTTTTTTCTCTTTAGATCCACAACTACACTATCTGAATCACCAAAACTATAATGGATCTCTACTACAAAAACAATGTACTTCAAATTTAGAGGAAAGATGCAGTCTTCACTCCAACAGCACAAGAAAATAGAAACAGAAGTTTATTTGAAAGCAGCAAACAAATATCTCTGAATTAATCTAGCCTCTGTGCCCTAGGCTTCTCTTAGAAGTCTGGATGACTTGACTGTTGTAAACAAGCTTCTTAGTTGTAATAATCCTATTTAAGTATGAAAATAATATCTGTACTCCTTCATGAAAATGCATATCTTCCAAACATGCCTTTCTTTACTCTAGAGAAAAAATTTTCTTGCAAGCAAAGAAAGCTGAATCTATTATTCCTCCTTGACATATGCCACTGTGTTTAATTTCAGCAGGTATGCAAACCCCGAGCCTAATCACAGAAGCACCTAACAGGCAACTCACACCTTTTTCTGTATCCGCCAAATACTAAAAAGCAACACCAAATGCTACTTGCTGGGGCACTAAGCTTTTTTTGAATTGCTACAAAAGGTATCATGAGACTGAAATACACATTACAGAGTAGCTTTGCTACATTCTTGCTCTATTTGTACTAGTTCCTTTATCTATCTTTCAGTCCAGAATCCAAACTTAAGTGTCATGTTCAAAATGTTGTGAATCTCTTAACAAAAAAAAATAACCTCCGACGGGAGATGAATCATTAATCATCACTGGCATTTTACTCCATAAACTTAAAGCACATTTTTCCTGTGCTGTCATTCCTTAGAAGATCAGGAAGAAGCCTTTACTGTTCAATAATTTAGCTTTAATGGTGAAAGCCATCTGTCCTTCCAGATCAGCACGTAGTTTTGGAGGGTGAGAAAGGAAGCTGAAGCCAAACTGCTGCTTAAGGACCTTCACTCTGTGCTGAGAACAAGAACATCAAAAGCCTTATGTGATTTAAGTGCTTTGGGTGTTGTTATTTGCCAGGCATTACCCAAACTGAAGTACTTCCAAACTAAGAAAGAACAACAACAAAACTACTATCAACCAGAAAATACTATATACACAGTCATAAAAGCTCACAAATACTGTCCTCAGGGTTAAAAAAGCATCTAGGTAAGACCCTATATTAACAGAAGGTTTTGAATAGATCTTCTCTAGAAGACCAACTCAGAGCTTCAGGTAAATTTCCAATTGTTGGTCTTCTTCCGTAACAGAATCAAAATTCACAGAGGACTTGAGGACTCATAGTCAGAAAGAATTGTGATCACGTGAACTTTATTTACTCTTCCTTCTCTTTGGGCTGATTGTTTTGTTAAAGACACATGTTTAAGTTTCTGGTTTATCATAGAATCCTTGTAAAACCGGGAATTAAGAGGAAGGAGAACAAACACGCAGAGAAATGAAAAAAAAAAAAAGCAGGTGGTGATGCTGCATACTTTTAAAATTATTCTATTTGCAGTATAGCTACCATCCTCCCTGGGTACTGTCCATCTTATTTATTTGGTGGTGGAAAACCCAAGACAACAACAGGAAGAGTCTGATGTTCTACCTGTTTGAAAAAGTAAAAGGTAGTTATCAAAGCACAGATGAACTACCTACCACTCTAACTAAACTTGAGCAGCCTCCTAACTTAAAGACTCCCAGGTCTACTGAACAGTTAGCAGCAAAGTCTAGAGAGTTATACAACATATTCACAATAACCAAATTATTGTAACTAATATCTCAAATAGAGACGTAACTGTCACTCATTTTCCAGACAATGAAACAACTCCACACACAATTCTTTCTGCTGAGAACCTTAAAGGAAATCTGAAGGTCAAAGGTGTCTCAAGATGACTCACTGTTTAAATAAAGTGACATATTGTCTTTCAAGTGATCTTTTCCAGAAGATTTTAACTCTTACACAGTTGTGGTTCCCAGCTCATTGCCACTCAAGAATTTCAAGTTTGAGATAAAGGATTTATTTAAAGATAAGCTACGCTTAACAATAAAATTACCATAAGTTACAAAGGAAACACTATATTCAAGACAAACAAGTTCTGGGGAACTAATGGGGCAAAAATTAATTCTAGAAGTGAAATATGCACAGTATAAGCCTCTCATCCCTCAAATACTATTAGCCTCCATACTCAATTTGATCTCAGCTGTCTCAAGCAGCATAAGAGAAAGTAAACACTTCGTAGAATACATTGCTGCAGACGAAAACTGATTCTTTGCTGTACCTTATCCTTTGTTTCCATATCACTGTTTCAACTATACAAAGATCAATCAATACCATAATCAATGAAGTAACTTGTCTGAGTTGCATTAAAACACAATTTAAATAATCTGGGACAGATTATTTAAATTGTGCTTATTAAGCAATCCAAAAAATAGAGTTAATACGACATTTTCTTTAAAATCTCTGTAGATGTCTAGAAACAGATTACTCCAATTATACTGAATTTAACTGAGAATAAGAAGTTAACAAAGAACAAAATGACATATTTTTTAAAGGGTAAATCTACTTAAACTATATCATCAATACTTTAGTTCTCTTTATATATAAACCCTGGAAAAAGTTTTCACACCAGCTGTACAGAACTACCACTTTCACCCAGTTGTTGAATACCCAGTGAGCAGTTTGTGTTAAAACACAGAGTTTGGTTACAGGAAGCAGAAGTACTAAACAATCAACATTCAAGCTGGAAGTTACAAGTCACACAAACTCCTCAGGCCACTCGGCCATAGACAATAAGCCAAAAGGGTCACGCCTGTGCCAAATCAGGCACTAATAGTGCTACTTTCCAAAGAATATAATTAAGAGATGACAGTAAGTAAGGTCTTAAGAATTACATGCCTAATGATTCTTCCAAGACTGCTTCCTGAGTCCGCTATTCATAAGCATTCCTTTTCTGATGTTCAATCAACTGGAGTAAATCCCAAAAGAGGATCAACAGCGGACTTGTGTACAAGGTCTCCACATAAGAAGTTCTAAGTGAAACAGTGTGACAAGAGGAATCAATCCAACATCTCATGCAACAATTATTATTTTATATTTAAATCTATATTAGGTGCCCTTGTTTAAGTGTTTAGAATTTTAAACTACAGAATTTAACCACTTGTTGAAGACTGAAACATTAAATCCTCAAAAACTGCTTAGAAAGAATGACTGCAGCTCAACTTGTCAGCACATAAGTGCACAACTAATTAGTTCAAAACGTCTGAAAATTCTGATGTCACTTGAACTTGACTCCAAGACAAGGTGACGAGCAATGTCCCCAGAAATTAATTACCAAGTTCTAATATGAAAGAGCTCCTTAAAGATTATTGCATCACAATAAGGGTCCACAAGAACTATGAGCAACTAAATTTTCCATTTATGTAGCCACATGCACACAGTCAAAACACAGGCACATGGGAAAGCAATTCTGAGAAAGGGTAACGTTCAGAACAAGAAGAGACTTTAGAGTCAAGCTTCTGCACACAGAATAAGCTTGTGTTGTAAAAATCCACATATAAGAATCTTCTCAGGAGCTTCTTTTTTCACCCACAAGAATTAACAAATCAATAAATAAGTCTAAACCATTCTTCCCCCTTATAATTAAACCAAACTCTGTATAATTGCTGCAGAACAGGTGCAAAGCCTCCTAAAATTGTCTAATTATTCACCACACTGTAATGGCTAATGAATACATAGACACAGAGCACAGTATAACTGGTTAGAACAGTTATACTTATTTTAAAAGAAGTTAACTGCAACTTAAACCTTGTAAAAAATTACAAGTCCGTTTTACAGATAAAATGCAAACCTTTCACTACAACAATATATATACAGCTGTGACTCGAACAGCAAGACTATTTGATCACAGAAAGAGTAATTATTTTTAACCATGGCTTAACTGTAAAGAACAGACAGGCTATGACAGTGGAGGGAATGGAAGAAGGCTTTTTAATAAACCCTTGCTATAGAAATGTCTAATATGCTAGTCATCAGTACAGATCGAAGTGCAAAGGAGAGGCAGAAATCTTTACACAGAAAAACCTCACCATTCCCTGCACCGCAAATTTAGAGATGTGCATTCTCTGTCCTTGGTGTTTCCCCTGCCACACACACATTTAAACAAACAAGAAAACCTCATTATTAGAATAGCAGACATTCAATGCCTGCACTTTTGTGAACAGCTATAGCATAAGCTAAGTAATAGAACTACTAAAAGTGACTAAAACTGAGACTTTTTGTCAATATGGTGACTTTCATATAGAACACTTCCCAAATACACAGAATTTTCCATCCCTTTAAACATATTCACTGATCCTCAGGCTTAACAACAGCTACAGCCTTACAACAAGTTCTGATCAAGATCACTGAAATTGTTGTGTAACACGGGCTTACTCTGTGCTAAATACATCATATGAACACATTAAGTCAGAGTTTTCACTTAAAGGATACGAGAAGCGATCATTCCATGTTGCTCTTTCAACATAATCCAACATAACAACAGCTTTAATCGTCGTTAGAAGTTTGTTCCATGTTTCATCAAAGTCAACTACTCGTGGTTTCAAGGACATTGTGGGGCTTTAGTGTTAATCTGTAGAAGAATTAAACTTGTCAGACAACATTGCACAATCATTAAAAAATATATACATTTCCTTTAAATTTTTCAATTTAAACTTTGCACAGTGTTGTACCACCATGACAGAGCAACACGAACACCCACCCCTGCTTCCCCACCCTCCAAAATTAAGTTCACGAACTCTTGTTTTTAATGTTATAGAATGGAACATTCATGTTGCACGAGTAGCCTAACAACATCATGCCTCACGAAGTTCATTGTCTCACCAAGCTGTCCATTTAACAGTGCTATATGAAGATAACAACTCTCCTGTAAATTCTTATTTGTTCACTTCTATGCAAAACATGTTTAAGCTGTATCTAAGAAAATTTTGGGCAGGAACACACTGAACTATTACCAGAGTATCTGAAGTTACCACTGTCAGTTTGTAGCCTACGTTCACCTCAGGTTTTCATGAGACATTTTTGGTGTTACATTTAAAAAGCCACAAAAGCTCAAAGCTTTGATCAGGATGGCAAAAAGACAACACAGAGCAATACGTAGAGCTTGTGCAGCTTACTGCACTACGCAGTAGGACAAATCATGAAATCTTTCAAAGACATGGATTCAAAATACAGAAGCTGTATTAATAATTTCATATAAAAATACTGGAAGAGATTTACTGGAAAAAAAAACCCTCAACATTAAATTATCGAAATAAAACCAGGGAAAAAGTAAGGTGATTTTTAAAAAAAGAGACAACCGTGAAGACCTCTTCGTTGTTTCCACCAGTCTCTGTCCTATGCACCTAATCTAGAAAGGACCTGATGTGTGACATTCCATGCACAAAGCAAGTCTAGTTCCTGCTCAGAAACATGACATTGTAAGACTACAATAAAACGTGGAAAGAATACTTGTTCTTTCATTTTAAATACATGAACAAGTGATTCTTAACTTGTCTTCCCAAATCTTCAAGGTCAGAAGGGAAAACAGAAAGCTAGTGACAAGCAGACTTTGAACACAAGAGGCAGACCTCTGTAAGGGAAAGAATCAAATGTCATGCTACAAAAGCATTTAGCAACTAGCTTACTACCTTAATCACTACTGGCTCTTGCAGGGTAAAGAACTTCTCAGTCTAAGAAAAAAAACAATAAAATCAGACATAACTTTTACCCTGCATGCATGCAAAACACCCCCTCGACTAACTAACCAAGCTCCTCAACTGCTGTTAATGTTGTTATATTTGCAACATGGTTGTTACTTCAATCCCAGTACATCAATAGAAGCTCACTTCACAGAAAATCACTGAGAACTGAAAAAAGGGGGGAGGGGAGAAAGTGGTAGTCTTCAAAGAGCTCTAATACCATTATTCTGGAAAACACAAGAGTGTTTTCAGCTGTCCCCCCCCCAAAAAAAAAAAAATCATGGTCCACAAACAAAATTAACAATCATAAGAAGTGCTTGTGGTAATGAAGTTGTACTTAATTGAGAGTTACATTATAGGTCACTGTCTTGGAAACACACGTGGCACCTCCAAGGTACACACGTGGTACCACCAAGGTAAAAGAACCTTTTCTTCACAGATAAGCAAAACCCGGGGGAGGAAGGAAGGGTGAAGAAAAAGTCCTACCCACAGTACATCACACAGAATCAGTAAACCTGTGTTCAGTATCACCAAAACCTAATAACATGTAAAGCATTCACACAGTCAACAAAGTATTCCAGAGTTAAATAATTTAAGACAAAGCTGACTGTTGTTTTGCAGTCTCTCACAGCTTTCGCATCAATATGAATTTAAATGTGTTTTACAGACACACTACTAAATGCAGTATAACTTTTCTGTAAGATGGTGGGGTTTTGGGGTTTGTTGTGCTTTGGTGTCTGCATTGTGTAAGCTCACCAGCTTAGAATATTAAATGTCTTGTACTGATGCAAATAAACCTCCATAGTAAGAATTATGGCAGGGCAGAATATCTACCCTAGGGTTTATACTATTCAGGGGGTGGGAAACCATACCTGTTCGACAAGCCCTAAGGTAAGCAGATATTGCTGAAACATATTTACACACGAGAATAATGAAAGGATGGTGCTTCTATCGCCTCATCTTTTAAAACATACCGATGGCATACAGCATATATTCGTTCACACAAATGTAGAGTTTCCTCCAGTGTCAAAGCATTCCCCAAATTTCTAACCTATTGAACCACCTCGATAAATTACAAGCCAGCGGTGGGTGCACAGCCAAGGGCGGGAGCTCTGGCCTCCAACAGGTGACCAGCTCTGCCTGCCCTCGCCCCCGTGCCCCTCTCCCCGGGCCCAACCGTGCGCTCCCCACCTTCTCCCCCCTCCAAAACAAAAGCGAAACCGGCCGAGGATGCCGCCAGGACATAATAATGACCGGCCCCACCAGAGAGGCCGCGCCGCGCCCTCCCCGCGGGGCAAGGGCAGGACCCGGGGCAGGCGCGGGCGCTGCCGCACAGATGCGGCCGGGCCCGGGTCGGGGGGAGCGGCGGGGCCGGGGCCGGACGGGGCGGCGGGGCCCGATCGCCCCCGTGCACACCCGGCGGAGTCGAGACCGCCGCCTCGCCCCGAGCGCGGCGCTCCCTCCCTTCAGCGCGGCGGCCGGGCCGGGCCGGGCCGGGCAAGGGCGTTACCTGGCGGCCCGGGGCCCGAGTCAGCGACCCCCGCCCGGCCTCCCTTGCTCCTGCCCTCGGCCGCGGTCGCTGCCCCGCTCCGTCCTCACAGCGCTGCCATTACCCAAAGCCGCCCGCGCCCCGCCCCTACCGCCGGCGCCGCCACTGCCGGGCCGGGGCGCGGCCCGCGGCCCCTCTCGGAGCTGCAGCCGTCGCGCCGCCGCCTCACCCTCCGCGCCGCCGCCGCCGCCTCGGGCTGTGCCCGCCGCGATCTTCCCGCCGGCTGCGGTCCGGGCTGGGGTCAGAGGGTCCCGGCGTTCCGGCACCTCCTGATCCCGGCCCCCCCCGCCGGACAGCGTGACTTGGTACGGCCCGCGCTGTACGGCGAGCGCGGGCGGCCGCACTTCCCGGCGGCGGGGTGGTCCCGGCGCACGCGCTGCTCCTCCTCTTTCTCCACTGAGGGGAACCGCTCCCGACATGGAGTCCAGGAGGGCGGGCGGGACGCAGGATGGGAGGGGCCCTTACCCGGGCGCGGGGTTCCCGGGGCCTGTGTGAGGCGGTTTCCCCAGAAGGTGGGGGTGTCCCCGTCCCGCCGCCGGCTCCCGACGGGGAATTTCCCTCTCTCCCGCCACGCGCCGGAGGTGCGAGAGTCCCCCTGCGCCGCTCGGCCTGGCCGGCTTAGCAGGGCACCCGCCCCCCCTTGGGGTTCCTGGCGGAAAAGGGTTCACTCGGAGTTGTTCATTCGGAGTAACAAAGAGAAGTCGCTCTGGAGGCTAAGTAGCTGAAGGTGTTCCGTGCCCGGGGCGCTGTGGGAGCCCTGAGCTCGCCCAGGTTCGGGCTTACGTAGCAGTGCAGACACCACGCACTGAGCCGGGACTAAACGCGGACCTGCCACTCAGAGAGCACTCGCAATTAAAAATATTAGTTCTTTTTTTGAAAAAAAGCTAAGAAAAGGATGCATTTGCAGCATGTAGTGCACGTATCTACAGAGACATGGTTCTCTGATAAAGAGATACTTGTTTCGGAAAACTCTGTTGTTCAAATTACTCAAAACTCAAGTAAAAATTGGTTTTCCTGTTTTCAAATCAGGCCCTTGCCCATTTCATTTCCAGAACTTACAGCTTTTTCATTAAGCCTTAGTGCATTTTGCTTTTTTTTTTTCTTTTAAAATTATTTTTATTAACTTCTTCTAGACATTTTAAACTCTTGCAACTTTCTCTGTTTTCGGCCTAAACCCCTTTCTTTTTCTATTCTGCTAGTTCAGTTCACTTCTGTTTGCTGGGGGGAGGGAGGTTGTAACTTTCAGCTTTTGATTGCTTGTTATTTTCTGCAATTGTTGGTTTGTATCTGCAGCACTTTTGCCCTTTTGTAGGACTGAAGGCTCTTTTTTAGTGGCAGTGTTAGCCACAAGCTTGTGAGTTAAACTCTTAGAAGTTAAGATACATGCTGGCACAATTAAATTATGCTATTTAACCATGCTGTGTGAATGTATTAATTGTACAAGATCGTATCAGATAACACAAGTTAGACAGCAGTTAATGAAAAACATCCTTATCTGTACACTACCCAACCATTACACACCACATATTTTCTAAATATCTGTTACATGAAGAAGTCCTGTCCTGAGTTAACTGTTGAGAACTGGAAACATAGATATGGGGAGGTATTTTCAAAGGTAATAATTCTGAGTGTTCATCATGGGAGAATCATGTGTTGATTTTCTGAAATTATGAATATTCACAAATTCCACAGACTTTACATTAGGTACCGAGTCCTTAACTATTCTGCAAACTGTGTTCTGTAAGACTGCAGATGAGGTAATCATGATTAGGAGGAAGAACATGAACATTCATTATTGCTTTTTATGTAAGGTATTTAAAAATTCTTCTTGGGTTCGAATGTATTTAGGAAATAACAATTTCTAAGTCCAAAAACTTCATAAAATCTGGATAATCTTTTCATCAAGTTTCTTTGTCAAGCCTGGCCAGAGAATTACCAAGGGAAAATACAGAACAGAATATTGCAGGAGTCTGAGATGAGCAAGCTGTGAGCATTACTGTGTGTGCTGCCAAGGGTCAGCCCATCACTCCCATAGTGCTGCCTGCATTTCCAAAAGAACAGAGAGGTTCTCCTACAGTCCATTAAGAAATAATTCTAATCTATCTGCCAAGAGCAAGACTAAAACTTGTGTGTGTGCACCAACGCTTTACATGAGTGCATGCATGATTTATGCAGCAGTGAGTTCAGTTGTGTTTGTTAGCTCTGTGGTGGGGCTGCTCTTACTTGCTGAAGCCCAGCTGCCGATGAGGTGAATTAACCTGCTGTGCAGACGTGCCCAAGAATGCCAGTGAAGAAAGTTGCCATTTGACAAAGCTTAACCAATTAATGGAGTGCTCCGCTACCTTAGCCATGTCTTGATGCATTTCTTGATGACAGCAAATGTGAAGACCTTCTTTAAATCCTGCTTGACCAGAGCCCAGTGTTGTTTTTCAGTAGTTGTAGCTAGCAGAGTCATAGATGGGTGACAGATGGAAATTCTGGAAGTTTTTGTAGGACGATCCTATGGACAAGTCAGTTTCTTCTCAGTAACTTCCTATCAGTTCTTTATCAATTGTTGATTACAGTAGCGAGTGACACAGGTTAGTTTGTACTACATGAATACGCCACCTTAAAACTTTGCCACCACATATGCAAATTTTATGTTTCTATGATTACATCTGCTGTCAAGTCTGTTCACCAGTATTGCAGTATTTCCTGAGTTACCCCTGTTGTTTATATGCATTTGTTTTCTCTTGTCTGATACTTCTGTTTCTCTGTTTGCATTAACTTGTTTTCTCTTAAGTAATAAGTTCTTTTGGAGGGAGCTATCTATTTTTTTTTATGTTTATGCTACATCTAATACTGTATTATTCTGGTACAGAATTAGGAATCCCACAGGCCTATGATAATACAAACACTATTTGCAATGTGCCACTATGCAACCTACCACTTTATTTAATAACTGTTTTAGACTGCAATCTGAACTGATAGTGAATAGCCCACATTGCCCACTACCACTATTTAATTTGGAAATGCCTTCCATGTTACTATCTGCTCTTTTTGCCTTTGCTTTAAAATCCTATTTTTAAAGTAACAGGTTCTTTAGCCTTTTTCATGCAGAAAATGAGAATATTGACTGGATTATTTATGTTAGATTCATGTTAGATTCAATTTTCATTAAATAAGTCTGCATTGTTTATGCAGATAATAATATTAAAATAATTTTAAAATGTTTTGTTTTTAAAACCAAGATAAATGAAATCAGGAAAGAACCTTTATTTCATTGCAGCTATTTTTAATCTAGATTTTTATTGTGGGTGTTTGTCTTTCATGCGGTTCCACTTGGAGAAGAGGAGATTGAGGGGAGACCTCATTGCAGTTACAACTTCCTCATGAGGGGAAGAGGAGGGGCAGACACTGATCTCTTCTCTGCGGTGACCAGTGACAGGACCTGAGGGGATGGCGTGAAGTTGTGTCAGGGGAGTTTTAGGTTGAATATTAGGAAAAGGTTTTTCACCCTGAGAGTGGTTGGGTGCTGGAATAGGCTCCCCAGAGAAGTGGTCACAGCACCAAGCTTGTCTGAGTTCAAGAAGCATTTGAACGATACTCTCAGGCACATGGTGTGACTTTTGGGGATGGTCCCGTGAAGGAGGAGGAGTTGGACTCGATGATCCTTGTGGGTCCCTTCCAACTTGGCAGATTCTGTGATTCTGTGAAAATACGAGTATAAACTTAGCGTACCTTTGTTACTATAAAAATACAGAGTAATAAAGTACTATTCTTGTAGCTTTCATTTTTTTAAGTCTATGAAGCATTTTAAATGTGTGATTATTTTATCTGCTTAAACCCCTTTAATTCTTGGTAAGCGGATGCTCACTGCAGTCCTGGCCACCAGATGGCAGTGCTGGATATATAAAAACCAGCAGTTTAGGAGTTTAAACTTGCACTACCTACAGTGACAAAATCCACATCTTTTTGTTCATGAAATAGGAAAGTAAACAAAAGTTGAGCTCTCCCAAACAATATTTATTAGTTAGCCATCAAGTGCTTAGTTCATTTTCCAAATTTATTCCGTCCTTCCCCAGAATCTGAGATTGCTTGAAAAAAATTTGCAAATGTCATTTTTCTTCCTCCATTATTAAAAAGGGACACCAATTTATTTTCAAGTTATTGTAGCTAAGCAGTTAAACTATCTGCATGAGCAAACCTAGGTAATTTTTCTTTCTTATATTTTTTGCCAAAAAAAATAGTGCTAAAAATATTCTCCAATATTAGTGACAAGTAAAATTGTGTATTTAAAGATCAATTACCTGTACAACTTTTATAATGCTTTGGAGAAAACAGTCATGTAAATCCTGAGTGGTTCTACCCCTATACTAAAAAAGTGAACACCCAGAATGCAGCATTTCAACATCTGTGTGTGTGGTATATATACACACAAAAGAAAAACATTTGAACTCAGTGACTACACAACTCTAAGTGATGATGAATTTTAGGCAACACAACTTAGCTTTGAGACAAGATTGGATTTGCAAAGTTGTTGTTTCCAGAAAAAAAAAAAGAAAGAAAAAAAAGGCGGGGGGAAGAGCAAGTAGCATCCATCTTCACTGAAATATGATAAATAGGAAATGTCTAGTGCCCATTTCTAAAACATCATTTTCCAAATTAAACTAGACATCATTCCACTGACAGTTTCCTTGGGTTTTCTGAGAAATGACTTTATAAAAATACATATATTTGTCTCTCAAATAATTCAGTAAAACACATTTTTCAAACTTAATGGAGATGAAAACCTTCTGTAACATGCAAAAGTGCTAGATAAATAGAATGAGAAAAAACAGGTCATAAATAAGCCAGCTGGCAAAATAGCATCATCAAGGAGATAGATTAGTTGAGCTAGCATTTGATGAAAGATACATCCTCTTCAGAAAAATATGTTGCTTTAGCCATTCATCTGTATCACTGGTAGATTAAGAACTAACAACTCTTGACACGAAAGAAATACAGAAGCTCTGTCAAATAAACACACTGCAAATAGCCTAATAATCTTCTTTTATACTCAATACTATTCCATTTAGTTATTTTTCACTTG